ACCAGCTCAGAGATACCGTCAAGATATTTTAAGTTGAATGTGGTTACAAAAAGCAAATCATTTTTAATTGCATCTCTAGATTGATGTGAACTACGAGATGCTTTACAGCTTAAAATAACAGTACGGTCGAATGGACGATTAGAAATGATTTTGAAGTTAGAGTACGGTGGCAACTTATGAACCAGTTTATTCGAACGAGAAGTGTACTATGAAACAGTAAACCTTTCTATGCTATGTAATCGTGTACTTCCAAACCTACTTCGAAATATGATACGCACTGCTGCAACTATGTGTTTGTTTTAGAGACTAGAAATACAACTGATATATCATCTGTACTTGAATATCATTAGCTTATTTCGTAAACGTTTAAACAGTGACCATTCATTCAACGTGTACTGTCTTGGACAGTTCCCACTACTCACAATTGTAGAGCCATCTTACCGAGATTCAGGGAGAAATTTAGCATGAAAATTTTCCAGATCCCATCCCACAAAATCCCCTCATCCAACCGTCCCACCCTATTCCTCCCCGTCCCCCATCAACACCTCTATCTCCCAATCATCCCATCCCACACAATCCTCAAATTCAACCGTCCCACCCCATCACCCATCCCACACAATTCCCACATTACTCCCACCCCACCCTATTCCTTCCCGCCCCCCATCAACACCTCCACTCCCCCCATGCCACCCTGTCACCCATTTTTCCACGCTACCCCGTCCCCTATTCAAACAGCATTTTACAAGCAAATTAGCCATTAACAAACTTCAACGTCAAAGGCTTCAATTACCTGGAGAAGTCCTTGAGCGATAATTCCGATCCTCGACTGAAACACCATATTTGAATTTATTTGAGTTTCAAACGATGTTGTCTTTGTAAACTTCCCCTTTAACTGCAAGAAATTAAAAGCAATTACTCACTTTTAGGCATATCTGGGTAACACAGTTCATTTAATATTGAAATGATCTATTTCCTCGACAATTATACCACCTTTCAGAGGCTTGCTGATTATGTGCAAATTTACCTTATGCGACAAATATTACAAATGATCTTTTACATGAAATATTTTCAAGAGTCAAAATAATACTTTACAAAATGGCTTTAGATCAATTATCCTGCTATAATACTCCCCTCAATAAAACAGCTCCCTTCATTAATAATTTTCCGTCGTGAACAAAGATTATATCTGGGAGTGGAATTTTAAAAGTAAATCAAACTGAACTGACACTGAACTGATTGACTGATGCAAAACCAGCTCAATGTTTTCCGTTCAGTCGAAATCAGCTTTTGATTATCTTGGTTCTTAACCTGACAAATGATTCTTAAGCATTGAAAAACAGGGAGCCTGATTAAAAGCATTTGACGCAAATCTGGTATGGAACCCTTCAACGGAGCGAGGTTTAGGTATTCTCGCTTTGCCTAGTGTATTCTTTTTTGTCTCAACAAACACGAAAAACTAAGGCCGCAATTCTACTCAATTTTGCTTACGTCAATTCCGTTGGATTTACGCTTTGCTAGAAAAAGAACTTGTCAGTTACAGAATGTAGCAACTGCTCGTGCAAATGATCTTCCAAATGGTGCACGATGATTGGCTTGTGGCTCCAATTTATAATAACGTATTCGAGATAATTGTTTTGCAAAATCAGATCAAAAGATCACAAAACACAAATTAATGCAAAACACTGTGATGAAAATAATACCGAGTGTCAGCATAACAGTTACCTTACAAAATATTTCCACTCCATATATTAGGAAAAATACCAAGACGACAAACATCAGAAATGCAAAAAGACCATTGAAGACCTCAGTAAGATGTGCCTGCAAAAATATAAACACGAACGAAAATGTAAGCATTCATAAATGTTAAGAGCACAAAGGCAGACGTCGAAGAAATTTTTTCCGTGCGCTGCAATATATGTATTGAAGCTGAAAGGCATTTGACATGCATAAGTACAGCGAATCCAAAAATAACTTGGGCCAAATTGATCAGAGCACGCGCACAAGAATGGAATTGAAACTGCTCACGTTAAACCACTGCGTGCTGCTCTAGGAATTGCACCGATTTGCAGAAAGATGGAAACTGTTCACATGTTTTTTTCTCTGTGCAAAATTTGATTGGTCAACCGCTCGTGGTCGAGTGGCTGTAAGCCACTTTTACCTGTGTCAAATGCCTTTAAATGCAATTTCGTTTTTGGATACATAATTGATTTTTAGTATCATACTGATGCACTACACCAAAAATTTGGCATCGAAATTCACTAAAAAGGCATACAAAAACCTGTTAACTATTTCTAAAAAACACAACATAAGCTAACAACAAAATCAATAGACAGCTGAGAAAGCATTCTCCTCTACATCTGATTGATTAAGATGACCTCGTGGTCATTCATATTGGATGCAAAAAGCAAAACTGCAAAAAAGCCGTTTCGCGACATAAAAGTGATGAAAAAGAAAATGCAGGAATTATGCATTCGAGCACTAATGAATCTTAAAGGCTTGTGAAAGGACCATTCTATCTCCACAAGCTGAATCATTTCGACAAACATTTTATCTTTTGATGCCACTCTACTCCGAGAGAACCTCGGTAACGTTTGAATCTCGGCATCGCATCAAACACGTAGTCTGGAAGCAATTGTGGCAAGAACTGTGTGTTTGTTTGAGATCATGGTTCCCTGAAAGATTCTTACCTAACTCCACGGCTGGGACTTTGGATGAAACAGTATCATGGAATTATTGTCACAGTACTGTTTTGGTAAATACAACTGCTGTTGGAAAAAATCTAAATATTTTGCGTTCGTACTCGAGCTCCTCCGCCATCCCCACCCATGGTTCTCTCTCTCTCTCTCTCTCTCTCTCTGCAACTGGCTACACCATAACGGATCCTGGATCTGCGCTTACAATGAATTCGGTAGAGAGGATTAAGTCTTATTCAAACAACAGAAACTAGTCCCGGTTTGCGCAAGGTTTAACAAACCGGGTTTGACCATGCTTTGCTGACGCTGAAATGATGCCTTAAGCAGGTGCTAACAGGAAACCAGGGCCAAAATGGGTTGGGTTTACACTAACAGGCCTTTGTTGTGCTAATGTTTTGCAGAAAGTTCTTCATTTTAAAATGTATGATTCTGCTATGGAAAAAATATTAAAAAAAAAAAATGTCAATCACAGAGACAGATGGTACAAAGAACTCGAGTTTCAATAAAAAAACAACATTACTATGTACTTAAAAATGAGATCACGACAGGCTCAACGCGCAGGGGGAAACCTTGTTTTGCAAATATCCCTTCTGTGTTCAGATGTTGCAAGGTCAACGTGGTACAAGCAAAAAAGCCATAAATTGGCGAAAAACTATCATTGTGGAAACTTTTTAAGGAGAAGGGAGGGTAAGAATCTTGGGGAAAAGAACTTTTGATTTCCTGTGCCAGTAGTTGCATCCGTTTTTACATGCTATAGTTCTTTGGAATGGGGAGATAAAGCTAAGGCTTGATACAATCACGTGATTTAGCCTCTGCGTAGGACTGCTAAATAACTTTAATGCAAGCCAGCATGGCAGCAAAGCAGCAATGTTAAATACTCACAATTCTGTGACTTATTGAGGATGACAGTAATCCCTACAGAAAAAGGTCCCTTTGATTACAGAAATGCAAAAGACACCTTGGATGATATATCATATAAATATTAAACTACATGTTTTTTATTTATAAGAAACTGGTTTATAAGAAACTAGTACTTGTATGGCCAAAAATTTAAGAAACTTTAGTAGTAGGCTCAAGGATAATTAAGAAACTGCAAAAAAGGGGTCATTGATGATTACCGAGTTCTATTTAGAGACAGCTCCAAGGACTTATAGATACTGATGGTGTAGAGATGATTTCACGATAAATCGTGTTAACTAACATTTTACTAAAGATCGTGTTCTTAGTAAGATCGTGTTTTTAGTAAAGTGTGCGAATAAAGGAGAGGCCACGATAGCAGGCTGGTCGACGGATTTGCTGCTCGTGTAGCCATCACTGATTTGTGTGTTTGTTGTTGTTTATTCTCGTCGCGTTGCGGCGTTCCTTATACAACATTTTAATATAGATCGTTTTGCCATAGTATTTATAAGTTTTTATTTTGTTGATTTTTTATTGTTGACTTTTTAAAAGATAGCATACTTTGGATTTTTTCGCGATGATCTGCGTTCATATTCTTCTGAAAATGCTAAACTTCAAAACAATATGGTAATTTTATGTCCAAAAAATAAGAAACCAACAAAGAAACATTTAGTACTAAATGGCACAAATTTAGGTGCCAAATTATGAAACTTTTAGTATTTAGTCCTGATCAAAGCTTCTTTACAAAAAATGTGTACTTTGCATTCTAAAAAATATATCAGTGCAAGGAAGTTAAATGAAAGACAATAATCAATAGGACTGACATGTAAATATGAGATCTTTATCATATTGTAATGGCAAAAATAATCAAAAACCCTGATTTCCAAAATGGCGAAAAACAATTGCAAAACGATACGGAAATTTTCTTAAGAACAAAGCAACCAATAAAAAAAGAAAAAACGAAAACAATAAAAATTGAAGAGAAAAGTAAGAAAAGTGCTAAGAAAAAACACCAAGAGCACAAGCCAAACATGCAAGCCTTTTCGTTTGATGCGAGCGATCACTCGCGATCGCGTCAGCATCTGAGCAAACCCAACCATGTGAGCAGTTGATCGCTCAGGCAAAACAGTAAACATTGAGGAAAAAATGTCTCATCAATTAACACATTTCTAGTCATATTTTGTGACCCAAGCAAGTGAAACAGACAATATATAAAATTAATTATTATCATCTTAAGAGTGATCGCTTGTGCAAGAGAAATCACGCGAGCACTCGGCCACTCGTGTGGGCTATTTCTTACGAAAAAGCCTGGTAACATGATATCACGAAAAATCATAGATAATTCCATTTGACCATATATTGCAAACTGAACTGGCACTGACACTAATAAAGTTGAGAAATTTGTTTTTAAAGTAGTCTTGGTTAACTTGGGATGCAAAATAGCCATCCATATCTCAGAGTAATCAAATTTTCTTAGGCTTATATAATGAATGAAAATTAAAAGTGAATTAAAGGTTCTTACCTTTAGCTCAATATTTGTCAGTTTTGAAGATATGAACTGAGCAAATAGCAGCATATAGACTAACACATTAAAGATTGCACAGGCCACATAAGACTTGGTGAGAAACCTCTGATCAGCAGGATGTTCTCCAACATGAAATATCTAGGAAATGACATTTGACAGCAAATTATTTAATAAATATATATAATCACATTTACAAACAACACCCTCAATTAAAGCTAAACATTTAACTCAGGAGGACTGCTTATTATTGCTTAGTAAACCAATTTTCAGAAGATCACCTGAGAAATAAATCACCAAAAATATTAGCTGCAAATGATAAACAATTTCAATAATAGCCTAACTGAATAAAAAGGTGATTCCATTTATAAAATTTAAAAAGTCTGTCCATTTAAGAGGGGCTCGATGTCAATTTTACATATTAAAAAATTTGAGTTTTGCAAAATTCTGTTCACATATTGACAATAGATAAGATTATGATGACTAGAAAAACATTTTTAAAAAAAAATTGAATTGTAACTCACCTCAGCCCAGAAACAAATAATTATTGAATATCCAGATATGATAAACGGATAATATGATGAAAGAAGGCTGTGCTTCCATGGCTCTGGGATGTAATCCTGTTTCAAACAAAGAAACCAGTTAAGTATAACTAAAAAGGTGAAAAAATGTTTCCTGTAACATTCTTTCTTCTTCTATGGACCTTTTGCAGCAATTTTAATACAGTCAATTCTCATGATCATGATTCCCATTTCTCTAATCAATGTGCTTTTGCTTGCAGCTAAGAGGTGATGCTGACTCAACTCAACGTCATTAGTAAGACAATTTCGCAAATTTCTATTCTCGTTGTGTCAAAAGCGAGCAGCGTAATCTGTTAAGGCAGGATAAGCCATTGTTCATATCATAATCATTGAGGGGACAGACTGCCTTTAACAAAGATGCCTGATATCTCTGAAAATATCCATGCAACTCTTATCTCATCATTGGTTGGATTGCAATTAGCTGTTTTGTCGAATGACACAATAAACTCTTCAAGTTTGCCATAGCTCCGCATAATCGTGAACCATTGTGAAGGAATGCAAATAGTTGTGAACCAGCATTAATCACCATGAAGGAGTGTTAAGAATCGTGAATCATTGTGAGTGATCAAAAATCATCATGAGTCATAATAAATCTGCGAAGGTCATCGTGAATCAGCTCAAATGATCATGAATCTCTTTAAATAATTGTGAATTGGCATACCATAAAAGCTTTATTAAGCCCTGGCTCTCTATTAAGCCACCTCTCTATTAAGCCACCTCTCTATTAAGCCACCTCTCTATTAAGCCCCATTATGCAAAAATATAAAATAAGCCCTCCCTCTCTATTAAGATCCCCCTATTTGCCCCTGATTTCAAACAAAGAAAGCATGTGCATTGAGTGGGTCTCTTGACAGGTGTGAAGATGATCGGATCATGTGCATTAAATACGGTCCATGTGTAAAGATTTCAGTGTGTGCCTTAGAAGTCAAGAGGATACTGATGCTGATTCCTTTGAAGAAATCCCAGGGCATTGGCATTTTTATAATGTTTTATTTTCAATGATTAATAAGCCTCCCTCTCAAATAAGCCCCCCTCTCAAATAAGCCTTTCATTTAAAGATTGAAAAAATAAATAAGCCCCCGCAGGGCTTAATAGAGCTTTTACTGTAAATTAAAACAAATCAGCCCGAGAGATTGTGCTCCATCGTCAATGACAATGTCAACGAGAGTAAATTCTGGCTGAGACCCTGTATTCTGATATTTTTTCTTTATAAACATCTTCATAGAAAAGCCAAATCCTTCTTGCTACCAGTCTTTATTGAGCACATATTATGTACCAGACATCTTCTTCGCACATAGCCATTGGGGCCCTATGTTTCCAAATGATTTAGTTTTTCATCCCAGCCTATTGCAAACTCCTTGGGCAAAAGGCATTCACAAACTACTACTCTCAAGAGCCCCAGTATGTCAGGGCAAGACATTAGCTTTACTTCTAATTTATTCTAAAACTCTGTTCTACAATACATTGGCTTCTTATTAAAGTTCTACTTTGTTCCTGCTTATTACATTTACTAACAGCCTCTTAGTTCTGCATACCATGGCCAAACTGGTTTAGCAACAATGGATAACTCATACAGAAAGTGCTAGATATTGTCATCATTTCGCAATCAAATGTAAAATGTGTTGTGTTTCATGACATTTTATTATGAAATAGGAAGAATGTAGTTTGTTTCAAAACTGTACCTGAACGGTGAAATATACAGCTCTTGATCCAGTTGCAATAATAACAAACACATAAAGCAGTTTCTGTACAGTCAGACGAAACGCATTGGCAATGTGAACTGTGCCTAATTTTTGAAACTCTGCTCTGATACACAGGACCTAAAACAGAAAGAGGTTTTTCTAAAACATGTAGCAATCTTGCATGAACTTGCAGAGTATTAACTAATTTCTTCTTTTTATATATTCTCATAAAAATTTACAACAACAATCAATTACAATACAAAAGCCTGGGAAGCATGGAAATGCATAACAACCCTAAGACTTACACTTAACATAGAGACACAAATATTACAATAATAAGCTACAAAAGTGATTGGAGTGGTGTCGCCCATTGTTCCAATAGCATTGCAGATATGACAAATACTCACAAAAAGCTAATTTAAAAGAAGATATCAAGTCTACCTATGTTCCTTGCTAATCAAACAAATTTGCACCCAGACATGATGAGCAACACCACTCCAATCGTAAAAGGAATAAAATTTACACAAAAGAGAAGATAATTTACATGAGAGAGGCCTTTCATCTTTTTTTAAGTTTTCTGGCTCACACAGGTATTTTGATACCACTGAATCAAATTTTAAAAGGCCTAGATGCAACCTCAAAGGCAACTGAAGTGCAACAACTATCACTGGATGTGTTTATCCTGCAAATCTCTCCACATGTAAAGCCTGGTTTCCATTAAACTTTGAAGATCAATAGCAGTCTTTCATCAATTGCATTCTGTTCCAAATTCATTGGAAACACTTCCTTCTGATGCTTGCGCTGTCTTCAGGAATGAATTGTGAGCACTTAAGCAGTTTAACTAAGTTCAAATTTTCATGATTATCAAAATTTCAAAGTGCAAATTTCAAAAGGAAATTGTAAACTTGCAATTTTCTATATTTGCAAAGTCTGCATGAAGGCTACCAAGCAAGTGGCATGGCATAGATTATTTAGTAGGCTGAATTAACCACATCTCAATGAGAAAATGCATTTGAAAATCAATTCCTCTGCAAACGTTTAGGATACTTTAGAGGTATTCATATTTGAAATTCATATGTTATCCAAAGTTTAGGAAACAATATTTTGCAGTTTTCTGGCAAAATTGCCTATATGACCTTTGTCCTGTATGGTAGCTTTTAACTTCAGTTTACAAAACAGTATGGTAGCTTTTAGCATTGTTGATTATTATTATCATTTCACAGCAAGCCTCAAGCAAGAGAAATCACACTTGTGCTGGGCCACCAGCATGGGCTATTTCTTATGGTGAGGCCTGCTATTGAGTACACCCGTTTCAAAACCATATTTCAAATGATTGTGTGGTGTAGAACAGGAAGGCTACTGTTACAAATTTTACACTTTTTGCAATCAGCTGGCAAATCAAAACTAACATTTAGTATATTATATGCATTGCAATGATCTCTGAATAGTCCATGGTAAATATCATTTTTATGGGTACAAAAAATCAATGATGGACAAATTATTGACACAAATGAAAGACAAAAAACTTAAAGTGATTAAATGTATTCTAAAGTTGCCTTTGAAAATCAAAGTATCTTACCAATTGAGTAAAAGATGTCAAACACACAAGATAAAATACAACACCAAATGGAATGAAAAAGCTTTTATTTGAATGTCCGCATGACCCGCCAGTAAATTGGACCTGCAAGGAAAATGATGACTTCAAATCCATAAACTGCAATTAATCAACTTGTGTGTTAAATGATGAAAAGAATGTAGCACAATTATGAATCTTTGAAAACAAGGAGGATCTCTTCAACTGGACCCATAAATGCAAAATATCAACTCTGACAACTAGTAAGAGACATCAAATGCTTAGAAGAATGAAACTCAAACATCAAGATATTCTAAATATTTATCTCTCAAGTATGCCACCATTTCTGAAAGGATTAATCAGAAACTTTCTCACAATTTGATAAGTATATGTTGATTTTAATCTGCTTTATCTGCTAATCTAATCAAAAAAGGCATAAAACCCTATGCTGCTAAGCTATTGATGGCAAAATAAACTTGAGTTTTTTAAGAGCATGGTCCAGGCCTTGTGGAGAGCAAAAGGCAAGTGCTTGATAAACTGAGTACCTTCAACTTGCTAGGCACTCAATTGTACATCATCAAATATCATCAATAACAAAATTTGGTTTTTCCAAATTAGTTTTTAGACAGCATAAGCACCCAAGTGCTTGATAAATCAAGCTCCTAGAATGTTTTCGGCGAGTGCTCAGGCACTTGATTGAGCTCGAGAGCCTCTCCTTGCAAGACCTGACATGGTCATAGAAGGTCTATTATTAGTTGAGACAGAAATAAAAATGTTCAATACTAGGGCCGGCACCACAGGGCAGCATAGGGGCCATGGCCTCCCCACCTCTTCACTAAATAAAAGTTTAAAATCAGCTAAAATACACTACCTTGCTCAGGCAATGACGGGCAAATAAAATAGCAAATTCAATTAAGCATATATAGTTTCAAATATTCTGATTTTTACTTTCCATTTTGATTTTCATTTTGAATCAACCAAATTGACCATATTGAATCAACCATATTTTCCAGACCAAATTTCTATTTTGAATTAATAGTTGAAACAACGTCTAATTAAATAAACATTTTGTAGAAAGTCGCTTTGGAAATGATGCACAACATTTTTTATGAAATGCACTGGCATCTCCTTCATTCTCCAGAAATTCACTAAATCAGTTCTTGTTTGGACCTTAGCGAACCCTGTGGATTACAACAATGTCACATTTACCCATTTTCTAGAACAAAATATTAGGGAACGACTGCCCCCTCGCCCCCCAGTGCCATTGGATTGCAAATCAGATCATTTTCATTGGATTGCCAACAAGAAATATTTGATTACATTAAAGTTCGGTCTTTGTTAAGGCAGAGAAAGGATATAGAACTTACAGGTTTTCAGGTAAGTGTGAGTAAAAATGGCTTTGGGTGATTCCATTAAGATTTCATACAAATTGGCATTTTTGTAAGCAATGATTTCAGATTTTACTGATTTACAATGATGGCCCCTCCAGTTTCCTTACACATTAAATGAAACAAAAAATTCACGTGTTAACATGAAGAGACGTACGTACGGGGTAACCGTCTACAGCACAAAAAGAAAAAAGGAACCCAAACATGGCCAAACGACTGATAGGCCAAGCAACCCATAGGCTAAGTTTCTAGACCGAATTAGGTCTGAACATGCAACAAAAACAAAAGGATAAGAGAAATAAAACTTTGGGACTCTAAGTGCACCAAAATGAATGGCTGTCTCATTATGTATCAGATATTGGCCTTACCTCGCACACGCAAGTCCCGTTATTCATCACACTGCAGATTCCATGACCACTGCAATTCTCCGGGCACATTCGCAACGGAAACACATCCATTTTGAAACTTGTTTGCAGCTCAATACACGATTCTTCGTTTAAGAAAATACACCAAATATGAATATTCCTTAGGTTCTAAAATTACCGCTATTCTGTGCGTAAATTTCAGTTTCGAAATGACCAGGAATAAGTATAACTACCACCATCTTCATCTCCTCGAAAACTTGACCTGACCTGACATTGCCGCAATGCATTAAAATTTTTCAATGAATGATTGCGTCACTCGTTGTCATGAGATTGTTGATAGAAGAGGATAGCAAAAAGCATGGGGAGAGGGGCTTATGATCCCGGGGCAGGGGCAGGAACGGTTTTGCTGGGGGTGTAGAGGTTGTGACACCCCCTGAAAGCCAATCATTATCTAACACCTCCTTAATCCTTATCACTTAAATCCGTCCCTGGGCAGGGGTGTTATGCAAGTAGCTCCGTAGAGGGGATCATATAATAGCGTGGTTCTCATTTAATCGACGACCGTCGCCAAAGCAAGTGTTCTCGTACACTGCTTGTTTGCGAGCGATGGCCTGCGATCTTATGGCCCTGTTGAGTCACATGTGACCCTGAAAACAAAGAGCCCCGATGCTGATTTTGAAAAAATAGAGATTGCTGATACCGCTACCAAATATTTTGTTTCCATGTCTGCACATGGGCAATTATTGGCATAGGTCAGGCATAATAAGGGACCAAGTCATGAGCCCATGTGAACCCCAAACTCTATATTCTTTTCGACTTTGAAAGATACTAAGCTTTTTCTTTTACCAGGCTGGAATGAAAACAAAAGACCGAGAATAATGTAGGGTATTTTGACAGAAACTCTCGTTAACTTAAAAATGTACACATCAATAGTATGCTACCCACTACCTTGAAGATACATTCCCCTTGAGATAGATTTTTTGGAAAATCGCTCAAACCATCTTGTTTGGAATTGTAAAAGGAGCAAAAAACTCTAAATAAAATCTCTATCAGACCTGCAGATAACGAGTTATTGCTATATAAAGCTTGCATAACGTCATCAAAATGTCAGTTCTGCAGTTTTCAAGCACGTGGAACTCAAAGGCTAATGATCGTAATTTAGATTGCTTTACCTCGATTATGAAGTTTTTTACCTTCGTGTTATTCAGCAACTGAAGAATGTCATTTGAGCTTATGTATTTGCCCACCTGGGAAACTAAGTATTGAACAAAAATGCAAGCAGAACGAAAACGAAAAGGAAAACGTTGTAATAAAAATTTGTCTTCAAAAAGAAGCTTTCGTCAGCAATGTACTGTCGCTCGGCAATGTACTCCAACTTTTACAGCAGCTAGAGAGTGCCATTTCAAATCGCACTTGTATGCCAAGCATGAGTTGATACCTCTTGCACTCAATCATCACAATTACAGGCGATGTCGCAGTTATCACAATGCCTGTCGCAGTCAAGTTACGGGGATGTGTGCATGTATTGCTGGTAAGCCATATTTTGAAATTTCAAAACGAATAATAATTCAATAGAGAGATAAAAATTACATCATGACCTTTTCGATACAGCTTCATACATGGAAGTTTATAATGCGTTAACACGATTCATACTCATTGCGTGATCAGAGTAGTTCTTGGGAAGCAATTACATATCAAGGCAGCTTTGAAGTTAAACAGTTCAACGAAGAACGAAAAGAAATTGTACCCAAGGCACGTATCGCCCTTCAAATCTAAGTTTCCACTCGTTGGTAACAATCCCTTTTCCACCAGACAACTAAGATGCATCACAACTGGTAAGCAGAAACGTGTCGCAGAATATGATATCGGCTTCCATCAAGGCAACAACCTGCTCCTATGTTTCTTCAACAATGGCTCATTAAAGGTCCACATAGTTTCTTTCCGTCAATTAATAAAGTGAGTTTGAATAAAGAAAGATATATCTTCTCTTCAAACTGTCAAACTTTTTGCAATTGTAAACAACCGTTCGAATGAACTCCCTTACGTGATCCAAGGCTTTCTTAGCTAATTTCTAGGAAATAACCAAGTTCTCAATATGCTGGTATTTTAAATCATCGTCACGGGCTTAACGCAGTTTAGGGCATCTTGATTCAGCTTTTGTCAACCTTTTCTATCTACGGCACATTATTCGCGGATAGTTATTAGTTTTTTTCAATTTTATAGACCAATGAAGTGAGATTAGATAATTTTCCACGGCACAGTAGGCAATAACTCAAGGTACGCTAGTGTGTCGTGACACAGTGGTTGAAAACATCCAAGGGCCCCCGGCCAAAAGGGACCCAAGGTGCTTTTACGTCCTGATCTTTACAGCTTTGCTCAAGTTCAAATGACTTTTGAAAATTTTGAACGTTCTTCAACTGAAGCTGTAAAACTGAAAGCTGAAGTTTTCCCTTCCTAGAAAATAATTCTCAATTTTATCTTTTTTCATTGTGTTTGACATGCTCTACACCAGTTAATGTGATCTTCTTGCTGTCTGTGAATAGAAGTCCCGTAGCAGTTTTTGCTTAGGGCCCCAAATGCTTTCATTACGCCAAAGCACATAAAAGGTACTATTTACTATCACAAAATCGCGCATAGATTGCTTCCTAACCTTTTTCATTACATTGTAGAAGCAATTGAACAGAGCTTTTTCTTTCTAGATTGGATTTGTAAATGGCTTTGAAAAAGCAAACATTTAGTAAACTAAAGCTTTTCGTCTGACACTCTTCAGAGTTTAAAACGTCAGAGCATAGATCGAAAACTCTACGCTAAGAAATATATATACCCAGTTGTGGATCGAAATAGGCCAATCAGAAACACGAGCACATGACTGTAAAGGTTGACCAATCAGATTGGATTTGTGGTCTTTATCCATGCAAAGAAAATAAGCTTCCTGTCCACTGCCTTCCCTCTCTAGCAGCCCAGTGTACAATTACATGAGCTAAGTATGTGCTTGTTTATTCTCCAACACTAGCATCTTCATGCCAGATCACATCTCAGCAAAGCTTCAAATTGCAAAAGTTGGAGTACATTGCCAAGCGACAATGCTGACAAATCGACCGTCTTTCATTGCTGACGAAAGCTCCTCTTCAGTATAGCCTTTTTGAAAAGAAATTTATATTAGGACGTTTTCCTTTTGCTTGTATTCTTGTTCAATACTTAGTTTCCCAGGCGGGCAAATATATAAGCTCAAATGACATTATTCAGTTGCTGAATAACACGAAGGTCAAAAAACTTTAAAATCAAGGTAAAGCAACCTAAATTACGACAACCAGCCTTTGAATTCCACGTGCTTGAAAACAAACTTTAAAAAGCAATTACTTGTTATCTTAGGTCTGGTAGAGTTTATTCTTTAGAACATTATGCTCCTATTACTATGTCAAACAAGGTGGTTGGAGCGATTTTTCAAAAAAGATAATTAAAAATTTTGATGACCGGGGGAAATGACGTCTTCGACCACGTGATTTCTATTGTGTAGCAATAATGTATCCAAGGCTTAAAAAATTCAGCAAGACTGAAAGTACCCAAGACAAATGGGGGTTGTTCCTACATCTTTCCTTCTTGAGTAAAATGCTAGTGACAGTCCGAGTCACGTGATTTGTTCTTAACAAATAAGATATCCACGTTTTGTCAAAATGATGATTTGATTTGACAGGGCGTTTAAATTCATCAGAAATAAATTCAACTCAAATATTTAGATACGATAAGAACACTTCAGGTAATTTCTTGATATGCCTGGCTAAATTGTCTTTTGACATCAGATTTACACCCCTCCCCCCTTTTGATACAATTGTCGCGCACAAAATTAAAAAATCAAACGATTTCACCTACTGAAATTGCTCTTAAAACGTGCAATTCGAAAATGAAGGGTTGGAAGCAGCTACTTCTATAAATCATTTTTGAAACATTACATAATCATTTTTGGAACTCTTCAGGAGGTTCGCATTTTCGTTGTTTCGTTGATATTCAATTTTGAACACATTGAAAAATATTACTATCGGCCAACACTTCTAAACAGCTAGTTCATTTACAGCAATAATAAATTCTTTGGATTTGATTCAAAATACAGGAGACAGCTGCACTCACAAAATTGATCAATATTGCAAAGGCTTTTTGCAATTGCAAAGTTTATTGTGTGTGGTTATGTTTATGATGCCATAAAAGGACTTGGAATGGGTATGGTGGAGTGCCTCTAAGCCTCCTTACCTGTCACTTCACACCCTTTCTTCTCCAAATATTTGCTTTTTTAAAGTAGTGAAGAAATTTTTGATAAATTTAAGATGAGAAATAAAACAAAAGCAGCATAAGTTCAAGAAAAACTTTATTCTGTATTAAAAATAAAGAAATTTTTTACAGTTTTTTGAAATTTTTGAAACTGTTCCATTTTTTCCAAAGTGGATAGACTCTCACATCATACTAATCTTTAGAATCCAAAGTTTTGGTAGATGTATAATTGCATCCAATAGTAGAGGACATTTGTATTTCAACCTTCATAAATCTAGATACAACAGAAACCTGAAAGTTGAGAAAAAACGATCCTATCTTCTGTCGGGGGTAAAGGAAGAGCTAGAGCTGCCTTTCACATTTCATTGAGGAAAGGAGAAATGTAAAAATAAAAGCAAAAAGAGCATAAGTAGATAACTCAACAAAAATAATAACTGAAAATCACCTGGGTAAGTTATCATTTGCTGTTTTTAATCCACTACAGAAAACATCAGGAGGACCAAGGGACAAGGGGTCTGGTTTCAGTAAAAGGGCATTTGAAAGACAATTCCTAACATCTAAAAACTCTGTCATAACTGTCATTTTATTTAGATTTTCTATGGCTAGCTTTTGGCATAAGGAATTTTTGAGAAATGTCAAGAGAATACGGCCCTACAGTCAGAATTTCACAAGAATCTCTTGATAATTAAAAAGGTGGCGGTCAAGGGCACTTTAATGAAATGGTCAATTTGACCCCTCTTGCACCACCTATCAAATGGCAATAGGAGCTGTTGCCCACCCCTAGAAAGTGCTTTTTGCAAAGCATTATAAAAGCAAAACAGGTCTTGGAAACAAGGCTTTTGAAGCTGTTTGAGTCAATTTTGAACCAGTAACATATACAAGCTGCACATTTGTAGCCAGAATATTCAAATCTGAATATGCAAAATGGTGGCTATTATTGTTTGGCTGTTGAGCATGAAATCAGGGAAGTTATGATTTTGATATTGAAAACAAATTTAATTCATTTATAGAGACTAAAGATAATTCTAGGTTGACACTTGTATTTACAGAGGATCAAACTTTAATTATTTTACTTTAAGAAAACAAAAGGGTACACAGAATTTTCTGAATTGTAAATCAGTATGATGATTTGAATAGATTAAGTTTAAGATATTCAAAAATGTTGATAGATTTCTGAAATGCAAATCATATATAATCTTAGGCCCAAGCATCTACACAACCAGCAGATGAGGCCTGAAAAATCTTAACAAGTTGTTTACTGTTCAGATCTGCAGTTGTGACACCCTCTGATTGTTGTGGTGCAGCATTTTGTTCTTTATGAAACAAAACTGTATGTCTTGACTGCTTTAAAACAACATAATCTTTTATGGCACCTTCATCCTCACTGCCTCTGTGACTACTCTCTGTGACCCCTACTTGATGTCGCCGCTGAAGTGCTTGTAAGGCATATGGCTGTGATAGATTCAGATTAACTAAATGTCTACACCCTTTTCTGAAGTTACTGTTAAATATGGCATACAGCACAGGGTTTATGGTAGAGTTTGAGAAGCTAAGCCAGAGATATGCAGTATTTACATCATAATCTGAAGGCCTCCAAAGCTTGCTAAATTCTGCAACGAAATATGGTATCCAACAGACTATGAAAATAGCATTCTGAATCATCAACATTTTGATAACTGTTCGCTTAGTTTTTGGAACCCTACCAAGAGACTTTTGCTGGCACTTTGGCCCCTCTGTGTGGATTCGTTGGGAAGCAGCAGCAGCATAACTCTGTCCTTTGTCTTGCTTCTTTGCAAATACATCTCTTTCATAGATTGCTTTGACCACAAGAATATATAGAAAGATCAAGATGAAGAGCGGGGAGAAAAATCCACAAAGACTAAAAACAATAAAGAACCCACCCCATGATCCTAAGCTGTTCTCTACACTGCATACTCTTCCACAAGATGTTGTCTTCAGTTCATAAAAATACAAAGCTGGTGTACTTATAAATATGATAAAGACCCAGATGAACGTAATGAGCTGAAAAGTTTGGGATCTTCTCAGATGAAGAGTAAGTGGGTGAACAACGACATAATATCGATCCAGTGCCATACATGTAAGCATGCATACTGAGATACCTGCATTCAAGTAGTGAGCAAAATGTACCAGTTTGCATGACAGACTGCCAAGTGCCCAAGCTCCTTTAAAAATCCAGTGAAAGTAAAATGGTACTGCAAAGAATGGAATGCTTAAGTTCACTATGGCTAGATGGGCCACAAATAGATTTGTCACCCATTGTACTCTGTGACTTCTGCTAATGACAGCAATGACAAGGCAATTACCAATGAGCGCTGAGAAACCAACAATGCTTAGTGTTATCATTTCTATAATCTGTTTCAATGAATTTGTTGACAATGATTGAGCAGTGCATGTTTGATTAGAAAGAACCATGTCACGTTTTGGTTCCTCATCAGGACATGACAAAAGCTATCATGATATCACCCTTAGACAACGGAAAAGGTGGTTGTCAATGCCAAACAAATGAAGGAGATCCACTCTTACAATTGTCGAATAGTTACGTCGTTTACTCGTTGAAGGCCTACAAAATCTTGATATTTGAATATGAATACCAGCAACTTATATGAACACCTAGCCGTTTCTTGATAACATTTTTAAATAGCCAGTACATCCAATGTTGCATTTGTTTACAAAGTGAAGTGACAATCTACCAGACGATAACGATTCGATGCTGATTTCAAGCCGAAGACGTCGATTTGTTAAGTGCTGCATTCAAAGATCTACCCAATAAGTTTGTACAATCATCTCACCCTCCGTGAACTTAATCTGATCAATATACTGCAATCAGAAGAGGAAAGATCAATGCACCATTTGATCGAAGTGGCAGACAAAAGTCCGGTCTCCTTCCTCTTGGTGTTACAACTTGACTTTGGCTCTATTTCTTTCAGAAAATAAGTAGTTTGTTCTTTCCTTTCATTATCGTCTTCAAATAATTATGCTTAGCTACTGTTCGGTTTTGATAATCTGCTGAACTTTCGCTTGCCTTGATCAGGCCAATGTTGTCATCTCACCTTCAATTCAAGTGTAGTGGACACGCTCAAGATTCTTTCACGCAAAAACCAGAAAGTGCATTGAAGTCTTACTGTGGTGACAATCTAAACAAACTAACTTTACCTTCAATATTTAGTGGATAATTATCCCAGGCAAAACACTCGTGCAAGCTATGATTTTCCGCCTCTGTGCTAGGCCATAGTCGTCAATAATTTATCAAAGTTCAACAAAAGAGAACAGGTCTGTATGAACAGGAGGTAAACATTTCCATAGGAACTACTAAACAACAGGCGATCTTTCCCGGAAATGGCCCATCATTTGTAAAGGGAACTACATATAACCTTTTACATAGCTGTCAATGATAGCTGTAGCAAAATAACCATGGATAAACTTTTAAAAATATGACCAACCTTGGATAGAGGAAGGGTCTTTCGCGGGAGAAGGAAAACCGTACTTTGAAAGAATTTATGAAAATGATAACATTGAAATTCAGGCTAATTTAGATAAAATAGAGAGGAAAAAACACGAGGATAAACGAATCATTCCCAAAAATCTTTATTCTTGATTTAACCAGCTGATGGTAAATAACTAAAGCCTAAAGGAATTGCAAATCTCTCCAAAATCGAATTTCATTCAAAAGAGTACTCTAAACAGTGATGTAGATAGGAACATTTGTAGGAGGGGCAAAAATTGGAATTTTCCGACAAAAATTCTAAAAGGCATTTTAAACCTTTCATGAAATTGAACATAAGACATCTACATTAGAAATGAAATAAAACGAATATAAAGTCCTATAATGTATTCCAAGTCAAGTGTCAAAAATCATACTACTTGAAGTTTTTCTGGTCTTCTTCTTTGAAATTTTTTAAGTACCATACCTCTTGAAACAGAGATTGTTATATTCAGCTTTAAAATATTTCCTTTCAAAATGTTACACTTGGAAAGAAGAGGAAAACCGAGTGTAAATCCAACAAGATCAGTAATTTTCCGTTAAAATTGCAGATTATCTTTAGAAAGGGGGGGGGGCTTTCGCCACACCTGACTCCCTCTATCTACGCCACTGACTCTAGAAACATCCGGCCACCTTTATTCAAACTATTAATGGCATTCTAAACCAGGGGTTAACTAAGAAAAATTTCAACACCATTAATTCAAGAACTGGTAATTTTTTTGTAAAGTGTTTTAATTTTACTGAAAAAACGAACCGAAATAGCGATAGAAAGAGGACAACTCAAAAAATAAATTTTCCTTTTGATATCACTGTTTGCATTGGAGACAGGAAATATTTACAGGATATACAGGGCAGCGGCGGAAATTCATTTTTGAAGTGTGGGGGGGGGGGGCAATGCCCACAAAAGCAAGCAAATTTGCCGACAAATGACATAATTTTACCAACAAAACCGACAATTTAGCAAAACCTGGGGGCGGTTTACCCCCACATGCCCGCAATGTCCGCCACTGACACAGGGTGGTGTTGCCTGATAAAGATGCATGCCATAAAAAGCAGTAGAAACTTCCTTAAAATACAAATATGCACGAGAAAATATGCTCTGATCTTGACATTACAAAATTGGCATTAGAGCATCATAATTGTGTTCAATTCTATGGATGCCGCAATGAAAAATATAAAACTGGCAGGATTGGTTAGTTATGCATCTCAACGTCAATAAAAATGTACTCTTAGGTGCCAAATTGCCGTCCAACCCCAGGTTTTTAATTTTTGAGAATTTTTCCAACCCCCCGCTCTTGTGTGGTAGAGCTTTATGTTTTATTTAGTTTCACACTAAGGGAAACTCAACTTTGTAATTTTCACCATAATATCAACACGCAAATATCATTACAAGATAATCATTCTCTGCAACTCAACAACTCTCCTCTTAATTACAACAACAAGACTTTTATACTATTTACAGTGCGCATGTGCAATTACAACAATAGAGTGATAAACAAAGTATTAATCCTACTATAGTCACCCCTTTCTAAATAAAAAAAAATGCAATTTTTTTTTTAAAGAGTTAGAATAATTAGATAAAAAGATCATAAATAAGGTAAAGATACACACGAAGTTAAATAGATTACGATATCTCAGAGAATAACTCCATATTTACAGAAATAATGTATGTACCACCATGTAAAGCACCATCTAGTTGGAGGTAGGGGCACGAGTTAACTAACCCACGTAAGCGACCATGTCGAGCAAGGATTTCCCTAGCGGAAGGGTAATGGGTGTACACATGCTTACAAGCTTGAGAAGAAATGGCAGATTTGGAAGGTAGAGAGGATAAATATTTACCAAATTCGTATGCAATGGTGGCTAGATCAGGATCGATGGGAACGTGAGAACCTGATGATGAAGAAGTTTCCGATTCAACTAGTGCGTCTTCAGGTAAACGCAAATCATGGCGTTCTGGATCAGGCACGACTACTAGTTTTTCTATGTTGACAGGTCGTGGCAGAGGTTGACCAGAAGGAAAAGGGCGCAGATTGAGTAAATCAGAACGATTATAAGGATGACCAGTGACAATAAAAGGGCCATCAAAACGGCGCAAAAAGCGGGTGGATTGACCAATGTCTTTAGATGAAAGATCTTTGCGCATGTAAACTATTTTTCCTTCGGGAATGGAAATATGACGAGAGACAGCATCATAGATTTCGCGCTGATGGCGACGTAAATCAGCTTTAATAGATTTGAACTGAGAATGAGCATCTTTTATACGAGAAACAAGATGACGAGCATAATGATCAGCAGGTAAAGGTGTTGCTGGCAGATCTAAGGAGATAAGTTCAGGGGATGGGGCATCACGACGAAGCTTTGCGTCACTCGATGTGTGATGTTCGCATGACGCAGAAGAAACGCAAGTAAACTCATTAACAGGAGGGAAAGTCTCAGTAGGACAATTGACGTAATGACAAGCTGACGTGTTGCATTGAAAATACGTTAATAGGTCATTAGTGACACGCTCGGTCGTAAAGGTAATAGCGTCCTCAAATAAGGTTTTGTCTCCTGTTGTTTGTGCGCGAACAAAGCCTAAAAATGAATTGAAGGGCACACAAAAATTATCCCTTGTAGAATGGACAATAACATTTGCGTAAAAAGGAAACTCTGGAGACGGCAAATCGTTAGTCTCAGAAGAGGCAGTCGTCTCAGGAGAGACAGCTAGCGTGGGAACTGGTGAATGTTGCCAAAATGCTGTAGCGTTAGCAGAAGGCGTGAAAGTGGGTAATGGCGAATCTAAGTCCATTAAAATGGGGATACGTGAAAATGAAATAGGCCCACTTAAAATAGATATCCCAGAGGCTAGGCAGGAACCTTCTAACCATAAAGGCTGAGTAAATAATGCAGTGCCAAGTAAAGAGGCAGTAAGAAGAAGGCATACTGGGATTAAATTAAACCCTGTCCTAAGAATAGGCGGTTCGTAAGAACGTGAAGGTGAAGGCATAGCAGTAAGCAAGCATGTGAGTTGGGCGGAAGAACCATGGGAGCGTGAAGAGAACCCCAAATTAGGAAATGCCTGTAATGGGTTAGAGGACTCACACTTAACATTAAACTGCATGCTACTATGGTTAAAAAAGACACGATGCTGGCTTGGAAACATACAGGCCTCTGTAGCAATTAAATGGTTGTTTCCGAACAAAATAGGCCATGCTAAATTAGGTACCACCAGCATTGAGAATGTCGAGGAACGTCCATTTTCCCAAACTATAGGAACCTGCATAACACCAACTGCTTGCAAGCTAGCAGAAGGGTTAGCGACAGAAATGCTAAAAGGCTGCTCAAGTTTGTTAAACTGAAGATGAGGACAGTCCTTCGCCACAGTGTCCGCATGGGCTTGACTCACTAAGGAGACTGAGCAACCACTATCTATGGGAAGCGGGAGGGAAACGCCTGCAGAGATAACTCTGGTCCACAAAATGGTTTTAGCAGCAAGATCAACCCCAGAAACTACTAAGGCAGAGGGCGGGGAAGCTATGGCTGGTAACCCAAAAAGATGATCTTGCTGTGAAGAGGCGGGTGTGGCGGAAGTGGAACGTGGAGGTTCTTCGACATTCTGACGTGAATCAGAAGAAGTAGTAGCAACATTAGATACGTGGTGATTAGGCAAGTTATTATAACGACTTCTCCGTGAACTATTAAAACGATAACTCTTATTCTGAGCTGGAGAATCAGATTTACGGTTGCTGTGAAACTTAGCCTTGCAATTAAATTTGCGACAAATAGTGCAACGGTGAATAAATCCTTTTGAGCATAAACCATTTGGAAGCTCGCAATGAACCTTATCAAATTTATTAAAATTACGACAAAGTTTTTCAGCAACATTAGTATTTGTCTTCTGAGGAGCTGAAAAATGTGCTTCAGGCTGCCATTCAACAAAATTTTTCTGTAATTCTACTACAAGAGGAACCCGAAGTTCATACCTTTTTGCTGCTTCGATGAGGGCGGCAAGAGACGGAAAAGCGAAATCTCTGCTAAGAAGTTCTGTCGAAATCTCCGTTTTTAGTTTGATAGCAAAAGCATGCATCAGTTCGAGATCATCTCCAGCTGCCGGACGGTGAATGCCTGGAACCAGCTTTTCTAAGGCATGCTGCGTTTCCTGAAAACGATGGGCAAAGTCAGCCACTGTTTCTGCTTGCCCCTGTGCCATGGTATAATACGTGGACAGAAGCTGGCGGATACGCTGATCTCTTGGAACTCCGCGCTGGTCCAACAAAACTCTGAGACAAACTTCAAACCATTGACGATGGTCATCGGCACCAGCATCAAGCGAAGGGCAAGAACTCTTCGATTCCTGACTGCAAATGATGTCGTAAGCACGGGCATCTTTTGCCACTTGCTGCTTTAAATAGGGCAACCATTGAAATGGAGGAACACCAGATGATTGTAGCACCGCTGTCAGCTGCTCAGCAAAACGATCCAAGTCTTCCTTGCCGGTAAAACTTGGCAAACTTAAATTAGGCAGTCGCAACGCAGTTGAAGAAGACGGTGGCTTCAAGGCAGCAACGGTCTGCGACAAATCAGCAACGGCTTTCGCCAAAACAGACAGTTGATCGGCTGTTGCTTTGCTGGCTTCATTTTGAAGAATTTGGTTGGTTTTTACAACACCTGCCAAGCCATTAATCAAACCAAGAACTTCTTCCGGCGACGCTTGAGACATTAAAAAAAAGACGAGATCAACGGTCGGCTATTTATTAGCACAAACCGGGTCCTACACCAAACTGTGGTAGAGCTTTATGTTTTATTTAGTTTCACACTAAGGGAAACTCAACTTTGTAATTTTCACCATAATATCAACACGCAAATATCATTACAAGATAATCATTCTCTGCAACTCAACAACTCTCCTCTTAATTACAACAACAAGACTTTTATACTATTTACAGTGCGCATGTGCAATTACAACAATAGAGTGATAAACAAAGTATTAATCCTACTACACTTGTTAGGACCCCCCGCCAATTGATTTTGGCAATTTTGTGCTAATTACTGTAGTGAAACAAGCGTAACATAAGCTAAATACTGTCGATGATAAATGGTAGCTAAAAAATAGCGAAATAAGCGTACTGATTTTAAGTGCATTTTGAGTATTTGGTATATATACCTTGATAATTAAGACCCCCCGGTAATTAGAACCCCCCGGCTTCTAATTACTGAACATAAAATTAATTCTGACCCCCCGGCAATGAGGCACATCCAAATTTTTTGTGCAAGCATTGGCTCTGGGTGCTAGCTGAAAGGCCGCAATCGTGTGAATTTAATTGAAGGCAAAACAGTCCATGCAATCTATTGAAAATAACTGGTTTTTGCCAAAGAAAACCTGTACCTTTATGTGCATTTTAACTTTCGCAAGAACTACAGAGAAAGGGGACAGCCAGGGGCGCCGGAAGCATTTTGAGGCGGCGGGGGCAGCTACTCAAAAAGGGCACATTTTCAATGACTGATATTAGAATTATAACAAAAAAATGACATAACATAATACTTTGGTACCGATAAAACGTTCAATCTATAAGGCCAATCTAAAACTTCCCATTCTGTTGTTTAGAGGCTGTTGCTGAGAGGGGGGGGGGGGTAACAGTGGCGGATCCAGCCAAAAATCTGACTACCGCCGAATTGAGATAGAGGGTTGACCACACCCTTTATACCACACCCATTTCTTGGTCACACCCGGTTTTCTCAAATGATTATTGCTTTCTATATTTTCTTATGTAGACCATTTTCAAGAGACAAGCGGTGCTTTACTGAAATTTCATGTATCCTTACAACAAGCTTGGGAAGAAATAAATAATCTTATTCAATATTCTGAGGATGGATATTCTAAAAAAAATTTACGGCATTTAGACGAGGAACACCATAGAATTAGAAAAAAATACATTTGGCAGAATTTTGAAGTGTCGCCTAAAACTCGCATTTAGTCGGACAATTACTTATGAAAATCAGACCTGTTGAAAATTACAAGTTTAAAAAGCTAGATAAAATTTGCAATTATTGAGAGCAACTTTTGTTAAACAAAGAATCATACTTTTGGCGAATATTGTGGGACTGACTTTTAGTTTAATATTCTTTTAAAATATATTCCTACGAATAGTTGTGTATTGTACAGAATAATGGGTCACATCGGCTTTGAAGTTACAGTTTGCCCACTTGCAGAATATGTAGGCATCCCCCATCTTTTTGTAACGTTTGAGCCGTGTTGAGCGGCAGTACTACTCAACCCCCCATCTGAGCGGTAGTCAACTCGGTTGTTCATTGGTTGTCAACAAAGTTTGTATGCATCCCCCCAGGTTGGTAGTGATTTCTGACGATTTGATTGGTTTAGGCAGGCTGACTACCGCTCAATGCAGCTCGAATCCGCTCTACACCGACTCAACCCCCCTAGCTAGCAAGGCATGATTTCATCATCCCCTCATGCTACCCTTCTATTTGCAAACATGTGGCTCGGCAATTGGCACGCAATTTCCATAAGGATAAGGATTAAAACATATTTCTGTCTCTGTGGAAATTTCAGGCATGTTCCTAGGAAGAAAGGCTTGGTTTGCAGCGCGATCAAATATTTTCAATAATTAAATATGGTTTAATCAAAGTAGTAGGATAAACATGAAAATGGTCCTTGTTTCTATAATTTTTTGAATAATCTGCCTACCGCTCGAGCGGTAATCGCGGTAGTCTGGATCCGCCACTGGGGTAAAAAGGAGGGAAGATGCCATTTCTTTTGAACATGAACGATCACGAAGTAACATTTATGACCAAAAGTAACGGCAACTTCCCTCCTTTTTCAATGAAAAGGCGATACAATCAAAAGAAATGATAATAATCAGGGAAAACCTTGATGCTTGGCAATTACTTTGGCAATAGTTTTGTTTTGTAGCAAAATCTATATTTCTCTGTAGGTTACCCTTTTTCTCGCGACAATTCAACTCTTTCATATTCATTATCGACCACGAAGTCACACTCATAATAATCAAAAGTAGCGGCCAGTTTCTTTTATTTTCAATGAAAAGGCAATACAATCAAAAGAAATGATAATAATCAGGGAAAACCTTGATGCTTGGCAATTTCTTTGGCAATAGTTTTGTTTTGTAGCAAAATCTATATTTCTCTGTAGGTTACCCTTTTTCTCGCGACAATTTAACTCTTTCATATTCATTATCGACCACGAAGTCAAATTCATAATAATCAAAAGTAGCGGCCAGTTTCTTTTATTTTCCATGAAAAGGCAATACAATCAAAAGAAATGATAATAATCAGGGAAAACCTTGATGCTTGGCAATTACTTTGGCAATAGTTTTGTTTTGTAGCAAAACCTATATTTTTCTGTAGGTTACCCTTTTTCTCGCGACAATTTAACTCTTTCATATTCATTATCGACCACGAAGTCAAATTCATAATAATCAAAAGTAGCGGCCAGTTTCTTTTTTTTTCAATGAAAAGGCAATACAATCAAAAGAAATGATAATAATCAGGGAAAACCTTGATGCTTGGCAATTACTTTGGCAATAGTTTTGTTTTGTAGCAATAGCTAGATTTTTCTGTAGGTTACCCTTTTTCTCGCGACAATTTAACTCTTTCATATTCATTATCGACCACGAAGTCACACTCATAATAATCAAAAGTAGCGGCCAGTTTCTTTTATTTTCCATGAAAAAGGCAATACAATCAAAAGAAATGATAATAATCAGGGAAAACCTTGATGCTTTGCAATTACTTTGGCAATAGTTTTGTTTGGTAGCAAAATCTATATTTTTCTGTAGGTTACCCTTTTTCTCGCGACAATTTAACTCTTTCATATTCATTATCGACCCCGAAGTCACACTCATAATAATCAAAAGTAGCGGCCAGTTTCTTTTATTTTCAATGAAAAGGCAATACAATCAAAAGAAATGATAATAATCAGGGAAAACCTTGATGCTTGGCAATTACTTTGGCAATAGTTTTGTTTTGTAGCAAAATCTATATTTCTCTGTAGGTTACCCTTTTTCTCGCGACAATTTAACTCTTTCATATTCATTATCGACCACGAAGTCACATTCATAATAATCAAAAGTAGCGGCCAGTTTCTTTTATTTTCAATGAAAAGGCAATACAATCAAAAGAAATGATAATAACCAGCAAAAACCTTGATGCTTGGCAATTACTTTGGCAATAGTTTCGTTTTGTAGCAATAGCTAGATTTTTCTGTAAGTTACCCTTTTTATCGCAACAATGTTTCATCTTAATAAATATTGTAATTTTATATAAATGTAGATACTTCGATATTTACCTGCAATTTTGTTTGTTGTTTTGAAATAATGATTAAAAGTTCTTCATTGATTTAACTTGATCAAGAATTTCTGTTTTATAAGTTTCATCCAGTAGTATGTCTACTAGATTTCCGAAAACAATTAACTTTTATACTTTGACTTTGAAGTTTTTACTGCATATGTTGAAGCTATGTGGAGTATTTGCGCCCGCGATTCCGTGCCGCCATGACCAGCGTCATGCATTTTCCCCTATGCTATCGGGCGCTAATCGGGCGCTTATTGCTCGACTCCAGAAGGAGGCTTAAAGAATATGGAATTTAATAATAATGGAGTAACAGAAATTTGACACAATTTAGAGGTGAGCATTGAGAAGTTTCCGAGTGATCGATAGCCTATCCTTGGTAGTTGTGGTTTTAACTACAAGAACACCCAAATCAAAGAATATGGGCAGGTCATCGAAAGATAAACGGGATGTATATTATAGACTTGCAAAAGAGGGAGGATGGCGTGCCAGAAGTGCTTTCAAGCTTCTTCAACTGAATGAGCAATTTAATCTTTTCGATGGCGTTTCAAAGGTTGTGGATCTTTGTGCAGCACCGGGAAGCTGGAGTCAGGTGCTGAGCAAAAAACTTATCGGAGAACGACCTGGACAGAGTGGCAAGATTGTGGCGGTAGACCTTCAGGCTATGGCGCCGCTTCCAGGTGTAATTCAAATTCAAGGAGACATCACAAATGTTGGGACAGCAAAGAAAATAATCTCTCATTTTGAAGGTGAATATGCAGATCTAGTCGTTTGTGATGGTGCCCCCGATGTAACCGGCTTACACGATCTTGACGAATTTATTCAAGGACAGCTGTTGCTGGCAGCATTCAATATCACGACGCATGTCTTGAAACCTGGGGGCAACTTTGTTGCAAAAATATTTCGAGGTAAAGATGTTGATCTGCTTTGGTCCCAGCTTAGCCTGTTTTTCAAGTCAGTTGTTATAGCAAAGCCATCAAGCAGCAGAAGCTCAAGTATTGAGTCATTTATTGTCTGTCAGAACTATTGTCAGCCTGAAGGATATAAGCCAACCATGGCAAATCCACTGCTAAAGGCTGAAGATGCAGATTTTAGCAAACTTTCAGGTGCAAACAGGGTCCTTGTCCCTTTTGTTGCTTGTGGCGACCTGAGCTCTTTTGATTCTGACATGAACTATCCACTTAAATCTGACAAATCTGAATGCGAGTACAAAAGTTTGCCACCCACCCAAGGGCCTATCAATCCACCATACGAAAAAGCTTGTGAGTTGAGAAAGAAGAACCTTCTTCCAGATGAAGCTACATGATATTTACGGTATATTAAAGTGATTGTATCTTCCAAAAAAGTACATACATAGTCCTCCAAAAATTGTAACTATTACTATTATGGTGCTTTATAACTATTAGACATTTTAATTAAAAGGCTGAATGTCAGCAAAGTATGTCACATGACAGAGATTTTACTGCGCTCTTGCTAAAAATACATCTGGATTTGTGATTTTCCTTATAAATACCACTGGTAAAAGAGTGAAACAGTGGCTACTTCCAGTAACACTAGCAATACCAGTCTAGTACCATTAAATTTTGGAAACTTGAAAAATTTTTGTATGGTATGACTTTTTTTCAAAGGTTGAAAAACACTGAATTTATGACAAGCAGTACAATACATCCCAGTCAATAACAGACTGTTTGACCCTCCTAATAACATTCATCCAGTACTGCAAAAAGCGTTCCCATTGTATCTTCAGACTAAACATGACATAAAGCTTTTTATATTTTGATAATCCAATAATGGAAAATTGTTGCCAGTACTAGGTTTCTCTTTTGAATGATATAATGCTGCATGATTATTGAACACTTGCAGCCTTTTCAATGGTGTAGAATGACATCAATTAATCATTCAAAAGTATGTTAGAAAGCTTCTGGCTTGGCATTAAGAGACAAATTGGCCATATTAGCTAAACACCAAAAAATTTCATGGGGCTAAATCCCTGTGCCACCCTGTCCCCAACTGGTTTTGCTCTTCTCGTATATTTTGTTTTACTTTACCATATTATTTTGCATACCAGCTTACACTGGAGTGGAGTGTTGTTGATATAATGGCTCCAAAAGTGCCATACTTTTCAATGTGGGGTAGAAACATTTTAGCACCATGTACCAGTTAAAATATATTGATGTACCAAGAAATGTGTTTCTTCAAAAAGTACAAGGAAGCCCTTAGGAAAAATTTCTCAAAACATAATCAGCCAAAAGTAGAAGAGGGCTAATTTTTGGCTGGATGCTACCACTAGGGAACTCGCGCACTGTCTGCACTCTGACAGTGTACCCTCTCCAGCATTTCTTCCACTATGCCATCTTGGCACTTACTGTATTTCCGCTAATAAATGCAGCCCTCTGATAAATGCTGCCCTCTATTGAGTGTCAAACCTTCAGCCAACCATTTGGAAAAAACGCTGCCCTCTGATAAAGGTCACCCTCGATTGAACACCAAATCTTGAAGCAGGGTTTAATAGAAATACATCACTATTCAAAAGCTATGAAAGTTTTTATGTCATCAAGACGAGAACCCTGACGAAGGCAGGAGTATTGACATTTCTTGACAATTCCATAACGTGTGAACTTTCAAACATCTTTTGTGAACTTTCAAAAATTGTTCACACAATCTTTATTACATGTTTTTGAAAAAGAAAACATTGTTTAAAGTCTGTTATTTTTAATCTTTTTTCATCGCTATTTTCATCTGAAAATCTTTTCATTTTGTATAAAACGCTGCCCTCTGATAAACTCTGCCCTCTATTGAACACCGCATCCAAAATTTGGAGTTTGTAATAAACGCTGCAGAGTTCTTTAGAGGAAATGTGGTATATCTATTCTTGATCATCATTTTTTCATTCATGTCCAAAATGTAAATAGGTATGACTTTCAATGAATGAACATCAAGTGGGAAGGCAATCTTTTACAGCTTTTCGTTAAATTTTTTCTTTAAAAAAGGATACCATATTTTCTTGAATAGAAGCTGATCAAAACTACAGGACTTTGAAAAAGTTATAGTATCCCAAAATTGCGTGGCCATTGTAATGTTACTTTAAGTTCATTTTTTACTATATAGAATTTGTTTGTTGTTTGTACTTAAAATATCATTTTCAAAATTTTCTGAGTTGTAAGTATCTCTTGGAGTAATAAGAACCTTAGTTCAATCAAAAAATCTTTCTTTTCACTGAAACAAGATACTGAAAGCAAGAAAAATCTAGAATAATGCTTGGACATAATTTCAAAACTCTTTGGAATGTGACACACAAAGACTTATGTTCAGCTGAAAACAGTTCTGAAGCATTATACTTTCGAAAGCATAATACTTTCTGTCTTACTCTATTTCTATAATATGTAATCAATTTTATGATGTCTTTTGTACTACTTTTCGGACAAAGTATACTCAACAGGTCACATCTAATATTTCATGAACTTATTGCAAAGAAAACCTGGCTTGATAGAGTGGTTAAAGAGGGGTTTGCCTTGCAATGAATGGTTAAAGTTTCCATTATTCTGTTTTTTTACTATAGTGCCTGGTTAGATGTGAAAGCTACAATTACAAAAAGGAGTATATCACTGTTTTATGATTTAAAAAAGGGTTGAAATTATTATGATGCAAAATAGACTGATTCTGCAAAAGGGCTTCCACATTTTCTTGAAATGTCAGCCTTACATGGTACGTAACAGTTTTTCTCTATAGAAGCTTTGACATCAATGACATTTCCACAAAAACACTGACCTGAGAACTGGGAAATAGCATAAGAGAAGCTTGCTTTTTGACAAGAGGCTCTGCAGGTATCCAGAGAAAATTGATTTGAAGGCTGTTTCTTGAAATTTTCTATTTCTTGGTAACATCCAACTTGCTTGTCATCTAAAAGAAGCAAATTATATATAATAACTTTGTTGCAATCAGAATGAATCAAACAAATATAAAGGACTTTGGTTTATTTAACTAAACATAAGGTTCTGGCTCATACACAAAATATTCCATGTTATTAACAGCAAATGGCAGAAACTTAGCTTTTGTCTGTAAAAAGCCAAAGGTGATATATTTGCCAAATTTTACGAAGAAAAGACCCCAGGTTATTTTAATTTTGAAGTTGTCAGCAGGTTAGAAGTGGCCAGGGCAACGGAGCAATCAAAATGGGCAATTAAACACAGTTCTTTTTAAATGCTTTATGCTTATAAATACTTTTTAATAATAATTAATTATAATTTGCTGGAAAAAATGTTTTGAGTTTGAGTTTTGAGTTTGAAATATAAAGGAAATAAGAAAAAGAATGACAGACCAGTCTATGTATTCTTCATGGTTTGGTAGTCGGTTTCCTTCATGGTTTTCAGGTGATACGGAGCATTAGAGAAGTGGGGGGAGGGGGGATTGGGCCAAAATCAAATGAAAAGAGGCTCCAGTGGTGATTCACATTTTTTTGCATTTTTTGCAAATAGTGCGGGGGGGGGGTAAAGCCTTCCCAATCCCCTGCTCCGTGCTGCCTGGTTTATAGGGAATTTTCTGTTGATAAACCATAGATGCAGAATCTCACGGACTTTGAATACTGTGAATCTCAAACCAATTGGTAAATCTCACAGACTGTAAGATTTACTGACTCAAAGGTTGTCTCATTTTTTCAAGATGCTTTTTGGAAATCTCACATACATTAAGTGAAAATACTACATCTTTTGGTCAACAATAATACAGAAGGAGTTTGTTTTCACCCTTTGGATTCGGTGGTAATATTTCCTTTTGCCATTTAGCACTGATTGCACTCCACACTGCAGACTCTGATGCATTGGACTCAAAGATGTAGTGTTAGTCTTTCACTAGATAAGATCGAGGAGATACAGGGCCCACGCCACTCATTCTAAATTGGAGGGGGGCAGCAAATAATTTTCATTCAACGTCCTTATAACCGTAGTGAAATTTTGCTATTGCTGTTTTGTTTCATAAATTTTGGAACATCTTTGGAAAAGTTTTTGGTTTATAGGACAGGACGGTTCTTAGTTGCTACTTCGAGTTTCAAGTTTAATGCGATCATTAGGTAACTTTTTCATGTTCATGTTATTCATTTTCATGTTATTTTCATGTTTTTAAGTTTCTTGTTCAAAAAAACGTAATTTGAAAAATGTCATATTTTAAGGAGAAAATAATCGTTTAGGTTTTGTTGACTCGTTCTAAAAATTAGTTTAATTAAAAATTCTCAGCTAGAAAATATAGTGCAGCCACTCAATCTCAAAATTAGGAAGAATTGTGCATTTTACGATACAAGCATAAAATTTGGTACGAGTACACAAGTTGATATGCTGAAGAAGATGAAATGCAGACCCTACTTTAAAAACGCCCCCAAAAACTATTTTTAGATTGGGGTACCTGTACTCAAACTTTCGTTGCTCTATCAAGTGCTACAGGTCAGTGGCGTACCGACGTAGGTTGGTGGCCCCAGAAAGTTTTTCACGATACACGTTTGTTTGCATTAGTTAAAGTGAAAATTGATTTAAAAAACAAATATTCCCCAGTTAACATGTGACATAAAGACACTTAGTTTGCAAAGACCAGTGGTTTCTTTTTAAACGAGACTATAATTCATGCTTACCGTGTGAAGTTCAAAGTGGCAAACGTCCGTTTCAAACTTCACAGTTTTAATACATTATTTGGATGAGATGTCTTCAAAAATGTAATTCTATAGCCTCCAATCTCAAGAGCAAAAGAAAAACATCAAGCAGCTCTTTCCAATGCAAGGTAAATAGCTTTTCATTGAACCAATCCTGACAAAAGCATTCAAACACCCCTGTCTAAGTGCCCCGGCGATTTCCCGGCGAAATAATTTAAGCAAAATCCTGCCCCGGTTGAGGCAAGACACTCCCCTGTACAAAATATCTGTTCCCGGGATAGATCGCCTCGATCAAATTCCTCGGTCACAAGTCTTGCAAGCCCCTGTACCAAAAGTGTTTCAAAGTTTCCCCGGCAATCCAACTTGTAGCAATTTTCTTCTGTAGTCGGCATAATAGATTAAGATATTTTTCGCAGGTAAGGCTCCAATGCACCAAGATGAAAATAATGAGCTATAGAGGCAGGTGAGAGTAGGAAGCAGGAAATGGTCAGATAGTCCTAGAAAGCTTCTTGCAAAGTTCAGTGATGTGGTATTTCCACCATTGAATCTCATGCATCAGTGCCTCTAAAATTTTTGCATGAAGTGCCCTTTGGATTGACTGTTCGCCAATCTTTGTGGGGAATTTACATGCAAGAAAAAGAAGGATAAAAAGAAAAAACATTGAAACATAGCAGGAGATCATTATGAAGCTTAACTTGGTCTAGAAAAGGCCACTAATCACGCAATAGACACACCCACAGCACGTCAGAAGAAGGGGAGAAAGAAAAAGGCTAACCAGGGCCTCCGACGAAGGAAGGGAGGGGAGTCGGGGGGCCCTGGCCCCTTTAGTTTTTTGCAAAACAATATAGCTTTTAAAAATTCTTTTGTTTTGATTGTTAAAATCTCTCTTGCCTCCTCCCCCCACTTTCCAACTTGCGTCGGAGCCCATGCAAACGCGAACTGGAGGAGCTTATCACTCACACTCATTTGATATCAGCGCTTTTTCTGTCCTGGCACCCTCACATGGATGTCATTTTCTACAGAAGCCACTGATTTCCAACCATATTGGTAGCGTTTCCCAAAGGAAGACTGGGTATAGGTACCCTAGTCTAAAATAGCTTTGAGGGACGCTTTTTAAGGAGGATCTGAATTTCATCTTATTCAGCATGTCATACCAGAAAAGTAAGTTTTGGGTTTTTACTTTGCATAGTTTAAAAGATGTGGAGGAAGACCAAAGGAAGACTGGGTGTAGGTACCCTAGTCTAAAATAGCTTTGAGGGGCGCTTTTAAGAAGGATCTGAATTTAATCTTATTCAGCATGTCATACCAGAAAGCAAAGTTTTGGGTTTTTACTTTGCATAGTTTAAAAGATGTGGAGGAAGACCAAAGGAAGACTGGGTATAGGTACCCTAGTCTAAAATAGCTTTGAGGGGCGCAATTTAAGGAGGATCTAAATTTCATCTTATTCAGCATGTCATACCAGAAAGCAAAGTTTTGGGTTTTTACTTTGCATAGTTTAAAAGATGTGGAGGAAGACCAAAGAAAGACTGGGTATAGGTACCCTAGTCTAAAATAGCTTTGAGGGGCGCAATTTAAGGAGGATCTAAATTTCATCTTATTCAGCATGTCATACCAGAAAGCAAAGTTTTGGGTTTTTACTTTGCATAGTTTAAAAGATGTGGAGGAAGACCAAAGGAAGACTGGGTATAGGTACCCTAGTCTAAAATAGCTTTGAGGGGCGCTTTTTAAGGAGGATATGAAATTCATCTTATTCAACATGTCACGTCAGAAAGCAAAGTTTTCGGTTTTTACTTTGCATAGTTTAAAAGATGTGGAGGAAGACCAAAGGAAGACTGGGTATAGGTACCGTAGTCTAAAATAGCTTTGAGGGGCGCTTTTTAAGGAGGATATGAATTTCATCTTATTCAACATGTCACGTCAGCAAGCAAAGTTTTGGGTTTTTACTTTGCATAGTTTAAAAGATGTGGAGGAAGACCAAAGGAAGACTGGGTATAGGCACCCTAGTCTAAAATAGCTTTGAGGGGCGCTTTTAAGAAGGATCTGAATTTAATCTTATTCAACATGTCACGTCAGAAAGCAAAGTTTTGGGTTTTAACTTTGCATAGTTTAAAAGATGTGGAGGAGGACCAAAGGGAGACTGGGTATAGGTACCCTAGTCTAAAATAGCTTTGAGGGGCGCTTTTTAAGGAGGATATGAATTTCATCTTATTCAGCATGTCATACCAGAAAGCAAAGTTTTGGGTTTTTACTTTGCATAGTTTAAAAGATGTGGAGGAAGACCAAAGGAAGACTGGGTATAGGTACCCTAGTCTAAAATAGCTTTGAGGGACGCTTTTTAAGGAGGATCTGAATTTCATCTTATTCAGCATGTCATACCAGAAAAGTAAGTTTTGGGTTTTTACTTTGCATAGTTTAAAAGATGTGGAGGAAGACCAAAGGAAGACTGGGTGTAGGTACCCTAGTCTAAAATAGCTTTGAGGGGCGCTTTTAAGAAGGATCTGAATTTAATCTTATTCAGCATGTCATACCAGAAAGCAAAGTTTTGGGTTTTTACTTTGCATAGTTTAAAAGATGTGGAGGAAGACCAAAGGAAGACTGGGTATAGGTACCCTAGTCTAAAATAGCTTTGAGGGGCGCAATTTAAGGAGGATCTAAATTTCATCTTATTCAGCATGTCATACCAGAAAGCAAAGTTTTGGGTTTTTACTTTGCATAGTTTAAAAGATGTGGAGGAAGACCAAAGGAAGACTGGGTATAGGTACCCTAGTCTAAAATAGCTTTGAGGGGCGCTTTTTAAGGAGGATATGAAATTCATCTTATTCAACATGTCACGTCAGAAAGCAAAGTTTTCGGTTTTTACTTTGCATAGTTTAAAAGATGTGGAGGAAGACCAAAGGAAGACTGGGTATAGGTACCGTAGTCTAAAATAGCTTTGAGGGGCGCTTTTTAAGGAGGATATGAATTTCATCTTATTCAACATGTCACGTCAGCAAGCAAAGTTTTGGGTTTTTACTTTGCATAGTTTAAAAGATGTGGAGGAAGACCAAAGGAAGACTGGGTATAGGCACCCTAGTCTAAAATAGCTTTGAGGGGCGCTTTTAAGAAGGATCTGAATTTAATCTTATTCAACATGTCACGTCAGAAAGCAAAGTTTTGGGTTTTAACTTTGCATAGTTTAAAAGATGTGGAGGAAGACCAAAGAAAGACTGGGTATAGGTACCCTAGTCTAAAATAGCTTTGAGGGGCGCAATTTAAGGAGGATCTAAATTTCATCTTATTCAGCATGTCATACCAGAAAAGTAAGTTTTGGGTTTTTACTTTGCATAGTTTAAAAGATGTGGAGGAAGACCAAAGGAAGACTGGGTATAGGTACCCTAGTCTAAAATAGCTTTGAGGGGCGCTTTTTAAGGAGGATATGAATTCCATCTTATTCAACATGCCACGTCAGAAAGCAAAGTTTTGGGTTTTTACTTTGCATAGTTTAAAAGATGTGGAGGAAGACCAAAGGAAGACTGGGTATAGGCACCCTAGTCTAAAATAGCTTTGAGGGGCGCTTTTAAGAAGGATCTGAATTTAATCTTATTCAACATGTCACGTCAGAAAGCAAAGTTTTGGGTTTTTACTTTGCATAGTTTAAAAGATCTGGAGGAAGACCAAAGGAAGACTGGGTATAGGTACCCTAGTCTAAAATAGCTTTGAGGGGCGCAATTTAAGGAGGATCTAAATTTCATCTTATTCAGCATGTCATACCAGAAAGCAAAGTTTTGGGTTTTTACTTTGCATAGTTTAAAAGATGTGGAGGAAGACCAAAGGAAGACTTGGTATAGGTACCCTAGTCTATAATAGCTTTGAGGGGCGCTTTTAAGAAGGATCTGAATTTAATCTTATTCAATAGTCACGTCAGAAAGCAAAGTTTTAGGTTTTTACTTTGCATAGTCTAAAAGATGTGGAGGAAGACCAAAAGAAGACTGGGTATAGGTACCCTAGTCTAAAATAGCTTTGAGGGACGCTTTTTAAGGAGGATCTGAATTTCATCTTATTCAGCATGTCATACCAGAAAAGTAAGTTTTGGGTTTTTACTTTGCATAGTTTAAAAGATGTGGAGGAAGACCAAAGGAAGACTGGGTATAGGTACCCTAGTCTAAAATAGCTTTGAGGGACGCTTTTTAAGGAGGATCTGAATTTCATCTTATTCAGCATGTCATACCAGAAAAGTAAGTTTTGGGTTTTTACTTTGCATAGTTTAAAAGATGTGGAGGAAGACCAAAGGAAGACTGGGTGTAGGTACCCTAGTCTAAAATAGCTTTGAGGGGCGCTTTTAAGAAGGATCTGAATTTAATCTTATTCAGCATGTCATACCAGAAAGCAAAGTTTTGGGTTTTTTCTTTGCATAGTTTAAAAGATGTGGAGGAAGACCAAAGGAAGACTGGGTATAGGTACCCTAGTCTAAAATAGCTTTGAGGGACGCTTTTTAAGGAGGATCTGAATTTCATCTTATTCAGCATGTCATACCAGAAAGCAAAGTTTTGGGTTTTTACTTTGCATAGTTTAAAAGATGTGGAGGAAGACCAAAGGAAGATTGGGTATAGGTACCCTAGTCTAAAATAGCTTTGAGGGGCGCTTTTTAAGGAGGATATGAATTTCATCTTATTCAACATGTCACGTCAGAAAGCAAAGTTTTGGGTTTTTACTTTGCATAGTTTAAAAGATGTGGAGGAAGACCAAAGAAAGACTGGGTATAGGTACCCTAGTCTAAAATAGCTTTGAGGGGCGCTTTCAAGAAGGATCTGAATTTAATCTTATTCAGCATGTCATACCAGAAAGCAAAGTTTTGGGTTTTTTCTTTGCATAGTTTAAAAGATGTGGAGGAAGACCAAAGAAAGACTGGGTATAGGTACCCTAGTCTAAAATAGCTTTGAGGGGCGCAATTTAAGGAGGATCTAAATTTCATCTTATTCAGCATGTCATACCAGAAAGCAAAGTTTTGGGTTTCTACTTTGCATAGTTCAAAAGATGTGGAGGAAGACCAAAGGAAGACTGGGTATAGGTACCCTAGTCTAAAATAGCTTTGAGGGGCGCTTTTTAAGGAGGATATGAATTTCATCTTTTTCACCATGTCACGTCAGAAAGCAAAGTTTCGGGTTTTTACTTTGCATAGTTTAAAATATATTGGAAAGGAAGACGACCGAAAAGAGGACTGGGTACGGCTACCCTAGTCTGAAAATAGCTTTTTGGGGCATTTTTAATGTGGGGTCTTCATCTCATCTTATTCAGCGTGCCAAATTGTGAACTTGTACCAAATTTCATGCTTGTATCATAAAATGCACAATTCAGCTGCTAAGCGACTGCACTAATACCCAGTTGTGGATAAAAAAAGATCGGAAGAAACATGACCAAATGAAATTTTAGGTTGCCGAATCAGAGCCGCTTGCCTATGGAAAATATAACAAGTGGAGTCCAAGGGTGAAAACAAACCCTTTCTTTCTACACAATAGCGTTTCCTCATTTTTAGATACATTGAATCTAAAACTGCTAGGTGGAGCAACGACAGAGCTCCGCCAAGTATCTAAAGCATGTCGCCATTATAGTTGCAACAAATTAAAGTTTGGGCCACCAAAGCGCACTGTTCTTTTCGATTTAAAAACAAATTAAACAGGCCATTACAAAAGGTTTCTTTGTTGTGAATCCTTGAATTGTTTGAAGGACTGCGTTGCTACCACCCAAAAGTGTGGTTCTTTCTAGAGTCACGTCGCCCCTTATGGAACGATTTCAGTATAAATTGTTTCCTCAGCTTTTTGGTACTTCCTAATAAAATAGAAGTACTACAAGCACATTCTCTGCTGTATAATCTACATGCTTGTGTAAAGACAGTCTTATCGGCTTTTCTCTCTTTCTGCACGAGCAACATTACTACAGGCTACTTTTCTTCGTGAAAAACTTAGGCCATCGCCCCTTTTGGAACGACTCAAATTTAGGCATGCAGAAAAGCGCACAATGGAGAAAAACCGGGAATTATTATCTGCCTTCTTTCTTTCTACCTTTATCATTCGTCAGTATCAAATCAGACTTTCGTTGAGCCATTTTTTGCAAATTCAGAGTAAAGAAGGAATAAAGCTATCCCCAAGTTTGGTTTTCTTACTTAAATGGGACTTTATCACGTGTCACACGTTCAGCCACTCATGAATTGTTGAAAATCACAACAGGAAGCCCGCCGTTCCATCGAAGAAGCCACTAGGCCAATGAAAATGCTCCTGATAAAAAATCCCGGTGAATGAAAATTGTGCAAGATATTGTATGGGTTTCAACGAATATTCGTTTTAGGGAGATGAAAAAACACGTTGTGGGGGTTGGTTTTGTTTTAGCTAAAAAACCGACCGAGGGAATGCCCAAGAAAGTTGAGGTGCAGAAAAAAAGAAGGGTCGAAGGTCTAGTGACAACATTTCGCGTTAACATTTCGCTTACTTTTAAAATATTCTTCTAGCTTTTAAAAACAAAATGAAACAACGATAATTAGCAAAGAGTTCAACTAATGTCGTCAGCAAAATAATTTCGCGCGTTTTTTGAAGATAAACAAACCTAAACTCCTTCATATTTATTTTTATCATTGCACAGTCAGAAATCATGAAAAAATCGAATCGTTCCATAAGGGGCGACGTGACTCTACTTGGGACCCAACACAGCCTAAAGTTTTGGAGATAGAATAAAAATATCCATGCCAGCATTAGAATAAAACCCTTCTCCTGAGAGAAGAGCCTCCTCTCGGTGCTAACGTAAAACCTTGCAAAGAGTTTGAGCACACAGCTTCTATATTTTGTCAAGGGATGGTCATTCAAAAGGTGTGCAATTTTTAATTGTCTTCGACAAAACTGTTTTATTTTTTGGGGAGATAAACAATTGGAAAAGGCCTTGTGAATAGTCATTCTCTGGCAATGCATCATGGGCAATGATTACGTGAAGCACTTGAATTGGATGGCTCACCTGCAATGCATGATGGTGTAAAACCTTCCCAGGATCCATTGGCATCACAAACTGGATGATCTTGTCCACTCAATTTGTAACCGTGTTTACAAGAGAAAATTGCCTTGTCTCCTTCTCTGTACACCATCCCGATTGCTTCACCATTTTTTGGAGCAGATGGTCTCTGACAATGTGAATCAACTAAGAAGAAAATTTGTGTACATTTTTTAGAAAGTTCTTTAATTATGGCTTCCACCAACTGTTGAAATAAAATAAAACAAGTACACAAGTTATTAAAGTTCTGCCCACTTTCTAGGAAATTTCATACAAACTCTCATGGATAAAATTTCTTTAGAAAACATGAAAAAACCTTACCATTACAGCCAAATATTTCAAATCTTTCACAAACTGTATGGGATACTTGACTGTGCAGAACAATTTCAAAGTGTGACGTTTCTATCTGTTCTTCGAGTTTAACAGTTATTTCCTTGTTGGTTCTTTTTAGCAGGCTATACCTCTATGAAATGAAGAAGATCACATAATAACACCAAAAGCATAGAGTTACGATATCCTTGTGTTGACTACGGTCACAGATCTAATCAATTCAGGGACAATGAATATTGTGTACAAATGAATGGATGAAAAGTCCCCTAGGTACCTACCATCTATACTCAATAGACTGTCTGAAAGGAGAAACAGTCAACTACGAAATACCTACACATACTTACACGTTTCTTTCATGAAAACTTCTTTAGGTCGAAAAATCTACTTTTACAGAGAGGTTAAATTATGGAATTTCCTTGACAAAGAAATAAAGTTCACTAAAAGCTCCAAAGAATTCAAAATTGTAATTCAAAAAATATGAATTAAATCCTGTAGTCACTTTTTCACACATGCTATAAAGTCTCTGTAGATAATATTCAAGCTTGTAGTTAAAGATTTACAACAATCATTTCTAGTATTCTTTCATTTATGTGGTTATAAATAATGTAATCCTGGGGAGGGCAGCTTGTGAAGCAATTCATTTATCGCTTTAAAGTCTGTATTTAGACTTGACTGTAAATATAGACCTGCGATATTTACATTCCTATCCAAGAATATTCTCCTTTTTTGTCAATTTTTTTCCATTGAAACATTGGTTTAGGTAAATATACACTCCCTTCCCAAAATTATTCGAACGGAAGTTTTGCAGCAGAAAAATTAGTGTAGCCTGAATTGTGTGACATGGAAAATTGTCTTGATAAAAATAAATGACTGATTTATATAACCATTTATTTTTCGGGACGGCTTTTTTAAAATGGTAACACAACATGCGGCATTGACAGAACACTAGACTTAACAGAGTCTCTGTTGTAGCGTCAGTCAAATGAGGCAGTAGCGAAACAGAGGCTCATGGAGTAAGTCTTACAGAACACCCCAGCATTAGGCCTACCGCACGGCATTAGGTCTACTGCAACCCCAGGCCATTACTTAAATCCCTTCCTATACTTGAGGTAGGTTGAAAGGATTTTTGAATACTTCCTTCTTCGTTCAGAATCCAAAGACTCAGAATCACTTTTTTAACCAAATCTACACTCCTGTGAGAAGGCATTATCGCCCAAAACAGTGACAAGTCGTTCCTCCATTTTGACGTTGTGTGCGGGTATTTGCTGAAAAATTAGGTTTTCTTCTTCGGATTCTAATCTCCTATCATAACAGAATTTTAGTCATTAAACTCTGTGGATACTTGTTATTTTAACTCTTTTAAAATACACAAATATGGCTTCTTCGCAACCGCAGCTAAATTTTCCTTTTTCATTGATTGATTGTAGACTTCGTGTAGTCCACTAATTTTGCAATTTCATCTTATGAACGACCTGCCTGGCGTAAACATTTTATGGCCACTCGCTCAGCTTTGTCTATGTTCTGTGGTTTTACCAGTGCTCGCAAAAATAATTTTATTCTGTTTTAAAAACAATTTTGCTAGGAAGTTTTCTCAGAACAGAATTTTTTTCTTGTTTCATTGCAGATTTCTTTCAATACCTGGTCCTTTTGCTCCACTTGATCGCAAAACTTTTATGATATTTTTTTATTTACATGGCGTAAGCAAAAATTAGTTTATAAGTTTTAATCGATCATCCTGATACTTTTAATGCGTAAGTTCACATGAAACAAATAATTTATTCTCTCCAACATAACCTAAAATAAGCCAAATGAAAGCCAGCTGGCAACTGTTGGCAGAGACGTTCCCAGCGTCTACTTTCATGTCAAATCTATTCGTGAAAATATTTGACAGCAGCAGGAGTGGTTCAGTTGAGAAAAGGAAATGCCATGACGAATTAATAGAAGGCAAGGGACAAATCACAATATGTTAGTGGTTCCTGTTGTTCATTAGGCAGAAAGACTGACGCCCTCCCCCAAAAAATTGAAACTTGCTTAAAGTCTGATTGTCCGGCTGCTTAATCGTAAAGAATCATTATCATGTCACAGAATAATTGTTGCAAAACTATTAAAAAAAGAATGAAAAAGAAAGTTAACCTTCGTTTCTTTGAAAATGTCGTCTTTATCGTTAGCATCAAAATACCGAAATGAGGCTAGTGCGCCACCAAATGCAGGCCATTTTAACTGGAAAAGGACTGCAGTTATTCTGACGACCTTATCTAATCTGATAATGACAGCGAGTGAATTTTTATAATAGCTTCCACACCATGTTTTTCTCTCGTTTCTTCTTGCTGTTTTGCTGTATCCTCTACCGTACAGATGTTGTACTTCTATTTGGTTGTCACGTATATCTCCATTTTCCATACCAAGTGGTGATTCACAACTGTTCTGAGTCGCTAAAGAAAAATTTATTGGTCGATGACTTGTTTAAAAACGTTCATCTCTAACTGTAAAAAACAGGAACAAGAAAAATACAGGAACTAGAAAAGTCAGATAACAATATCACAATTCGTATTAAAAAGAACAGATAAGTCACAGAAAGGTAATTTTTTATTTTGCTTGCGTTTTCTCTTTTCTCGTGTTTTTTTGCTTGGTTAGAAAAGAGTTGTTTGGTTCTTTGGGTTTTTACCTTTTAAGATATTTTGTCATTTTATAATATAAATATTAAAAGAGTTGCGAAAGGTTGTTGACCTTCCTCCGAAACCGCAATATATGGATTTTTAAAACAGTCTCTTGCATAGTTTCAGAGAAAATTGCATTCATACAAAGATAAATCAAAATTTTTTGTTTCATATACAAAATCAGAAATCTAAGGGTTTACTTTGTACGGTTGAGATTTTACAAAAAAACTATGAAACTAAGGAACTAGAAAAGTGAAAATTATCAATTAGAAAGTCAACCACACAAGAAAAACAAGTTTTTTGGACATTTAAAAACACAAAAATTACAAGAGCTGTGTTCTCTAACAGACAAAAGCACTTTTCTGCTTAAGGGCAGCATCAGGCCTCTTACAAAATTTTTCAAGAACAAATTTCCTGACACACATCAATATTTCCTCATAGATGTTCTCTGTATTTTACAATATTGATAGTTCAAGTATGCATTTTTAACTTTGATCATTTTTTTCAGTACAAACTAACCATTGTCATGCAGTTGACATGATTTTTAAAAGTTCTAGGTATCATTTTGCACTTGTAAATTAATACGGAACTGTAAAATTTCTTGTGTTTTTTTGTGACGATCTGCGTTCATATTCTTCCAAAAATGCTCAAACTTCAAAACAATAAAGAAATTTTAGGTCCCGAAATAAGGAAACGTAAAAATTTGGATGCTAAAATAAGAAAATTTAGGTACTTTGTGCTGATCCAAGTTTCTTATAAAATAAAAAACGTGTCATCCAATTATAAATAAAAACACTTAATTCATGTCTTACCACTTTCACATTTTGGATAACTATCCCATACGCCATTTGCATTGCACGTTATAGTAGGTTCTCCATTTAGCTTGAAGCCAGCTTTGCATTCAACCTTCAGTCTTGTACCAACCGCATAGGGCGCGGAATCTCTGTCCTTTTCGCTATTCGCAATGTTTGGTTCTGAGCATGTTCTCGCTAGGAGACACAAAAAGCATATAAACAGGCAGCAAGGCCGGTTCGCAGGTTTGTAAGAAACCAGTACTAGGAGGGGCAAACATTTAAGAAACTTTTGTGTTAGGCTCAAATTAAAATTAAGAAACTATAAAATTTACGTAAAAAGAGTTTAAAACTTCTTATATTGTTGATTTTTCTTTGGAAAAGAAGCATACTTCGGATTTTGATCTGCATGGATTTTTTGTGACGATCTGCGTTCATATTCTTCCAAAAATGCTCAAACTTCAAAACAATAAAGAAATTTTAGGTCCCGAGATAAGGAACTTTTTTGTACTAAAACGTAAAAATTTGGATGCTAAATAAAGAAACTTTAGGTACTTAGTGCTGATCCAAGTTTCTTATAAAATAAAAACGTGTCATCCAATTATAAATAAAAACACTTAATTCATGTCTTACCACTTTCACATTTTGGATAACTATCCCATATGCCATTTGCATTGCACGTTATAGTAGGTTCTCCATTTAGCTTGAAGCCAGCTTTGCATTCAACCTTCAGTCTTGTACCAACCGCATAGGGCGCGGAATCTCTGTCACTTTGGCTATTCGCAATGTTTGGTTCTGAGCATGTAATGGCTAGGAGACACAAAAAGCATATAAACAGGCAGCAAGGCCGGTTCGCAAGTTTGTAAGAAACTAGTACTAGGAGTGGCAACAATTTAAGAAACTTTAGTGTTAGGCTCAAATTAAAATTAAGAAGCTCTAAAATATCCGTAAAAAGAGTCTAAAACTTCTTATTTTGTTGATTTTTCTTTGGAAAAGAAGCATACTTCGGATTTTGATCTGCATGGATTTTTTGTGACGATCTGCGTTCATATTCTTCCAAAAATGCTCAAACTTCAAAACAATAAAGAAATTTTAGGTCCCGAGATAAGGAACTTTTTTGTACTAAAACGTAAAAATTTGGATGCTAAATAAAGAAACTTTAGGTACTTAGTGCTGATCCAAGTTTCTTATAAAATAAAAAACGTGTCAGCCAATTGTAAATGAAAACACTTAATTAATGTCTTACCACTTTCACATTTTGGATAACTATCCCATACGCCATTTGCATTGCACGTTATAGTAGGTTCTCCATTTAGCTTGAAGCCAGCTTTGCATTCAACCTTCAGTCTTGTACCAACCGCATAGGGCGCGGAATCTCTGTCATTTTCGCTGTTCGCAATGTTTGGTTCTGAGCATGTCATGGCTAGGAGACACAAAAAGCATATAAACAGGCAGCAAGGCCGGTTCGCAGGTTTGTAAGAAACTAGTACTAGGAGTGGCAAAAATTTAAGAAACTTTAGTGTTAGGCTCAATTAAAATTAAGAAGCTCTAAAATATCCGTAAAAAGAGTCTAAAACTTCTTATTTTGTTGATTTTTCTTTGGAAAAGAAGCATACTTCGGATTTTGATCTGCATGGATTTTTTGTCACGATCTGCGTTCATATTCTTTCAAAAATGCTCAAACTTCAAAACAATTATGAAATTTTAGGTCCCGAGATAAGGAACTTTTTTGTACTAAAACGTAAAAATTTGGATGCTAAATAAAGAAACTTTAGGTACTTAGTGCTGATCCAAGTTTATTATAAAATAAAAAACGTGTCATCCAATTATAAATAAAAACACTTAATTCATGTCTTACCACTTTCACATTTTGGATAACTATCCCATACGCCATTTGCATTGCACGTTATAGTAGGTTCTCCATTTAGCTTGAAGCCAGCTTTGCATTCAACCTTCAGTCTTGTACCAACCGCATAGGGCGCGGAATCTCTGTCATTTTCGCTGTTCGCAATGTTTGGTTCTGAGCATGTAATGGCTAGGAGACACAAAAAGCATATAAACAGGCAGCAAGGCCGGTTTGCAGGTTTGTAAGAAACTAGTACTAGGAGGGACAAAAATTTAAGAAACTTTTGTGTTAGGCTCAAATTAAAATTAAGAAACTATAAAATTTCCGTAAAAAGAGTCTAAAGCTTCTTATATTGTGGATGTTTCTTTGGAAAAGAAGCATACTTCGGATTTTGATCTGCATGGATTTTTTGTGATGATCTGCGTTCATATTCTTCCAAAAATGCTCAAACTTCAAAACAATAACGAAATTTTAGGTCCCGAGATAAGGAACTTTTTTGTACTAAAACGTAAAAATTTGGATGCTAAATAAAGAAACTTTAGGTACTTAGTGCTGATCCAAGTTTATTATAAAATAAAAAGCGTGTCATCCAATTATAAATAAAAACACTTAATTCATGTCTTACCACTTTCACATTTTGGATAACTATCCCATACGCCATTTGCATTGCACGTTATAGTAGGTTCTCCATTTAGCTTGAAGCCAGCTTTGCATTCAACCTTCAGTCTTGTACCAACGGCATAGGGCGCGGAATCTCTGTCATTTTCGCTGTTCGCAATGTTTGGTTCTGAGCATGTTATTGCTAGGAGACACAAAAAGCATATAAACAGGCAGCAAGGCCGGCTCACACTGCTGGAGGACGACTTGTTCACTATCTCTAAGTAAAGAATGATAAGATTAACGAAAAAATGCGAAATCCACCACAAAAGTAAGAATCAGGGACGTCACAGTCATGGTTTGCCCGCTAGCGTAAGTAAGGAAGCTCCCAAAACTAGGCCTCAAGTGTATATAAACTTCTTTTTTTAGCCCAAGGGCCTTATAATATTTTATTTGAAAGTAGTTTTGTTAATAATAGCTGTTAAAAAGAAGGCAGATGCTAGAAGAGGTGAGCCAATTTAGTTGTTTCTTATAACACTGTTTTGTTTCATCCATTGTGGTAGTCTGCAAAGTAGATTTCTGACATTTAGCTTTAAAAAAGGAATAGGGAATAGTAATCTTAAGTCCTTAGAATTTCGTTACTGTGTTTCATTGTTGATAATTGGAGAGTGAAAAAATTCTGCGATTTATGCATTTGTGGTGTGCATAGACAATTTGATGCATCTGACAACCTTTGAAAATTTCGCTGAAAGTGTAGAGTGACAAACTTTAACCAATTCAGTACAGAGGCTGTCGGTCTTTCATACGACTTGCGGTTGGTTCATTAAAAGTCATGTACGTGTTTTTATAAGGAACAACTTTACATGCAACCTACACGTAGAAGGCTAAAACATCTAAGGAAGTTTACTATAAAAATCTTTAAGGAACTTTTCAATTGGAATGTTTTGTCACTGCAAGAAAGGAAAGTTTGGAAACCAGGTCCATTCATTTGCGGTATCTGAAGATGCATTTTTATCTGTATCAAACCTTTTCCGCCCTCCTTGTGTTTTTGACCTTCTTTTCTAGCCACAATTTAAAACAGAACTGCGTCTTGTGTTACTTTCAGGGCATTAAATGTGCAGTTATTTTGGTACTACAATGTGATCAAAACAAGTCCTAAAAAAATAACTTAGGGAAGAAGGCCTTCAGGTAGGTCCCTTACAAAAAATCGTGCATTTGCAATCTACACATTTCATTGCAATCACTCTTCCAAAACAGGTGAGAAACTAAAATTATTCAGTTACAGGAGAAAGAAAGAGAACAGAGTCTTCAAAAAGGCTACTATAGAGTTGCTTATGGAAGCGTGATACTGAATTCAAGTTGTTCTTGCATGTAAAGTTGTGTCAGTATAAATAGTCTTTAATTAAATTATAAGTTCACACATCGATAGCTTGTTTGCGGATAAGAATTCCCTCCCATCCCTTCCCCTAAGGATTTTAGAGTAGTTGTATTTTAGTTGTGATTTTTCATTCTGCTTTTATGCCAAGCTTATGATTTAGCTAGAATTGATAGCATTAGCAATATTGTGTTAAGTTTGACGATACTTTTCGTACTCCTTGTACCGTATTTGTTCGGGAGACGAAACCGTAAGTCCTTTGTTTCGAAACAATACCGTCTGAAACCAATCAGTGTTGCAGGGTCATAGCACATGCGCATTAATGACAGTAATCACGCAGCTGTTCTGTCTGGGACCACACAACTTCCCGCCAGGGCTTCAAGTGATAATGCGCATATGCAATAAATCTAAAACGGGCGCTAGCGCATGTCTGGAAGACGGGCATGATTCATCTCCCGAACAAGTATCAGTTTTGTCTTAATTGATATATTCACCTGTTTGACATGCACACGTTCATTCGCAAAATGCTAAAATGACTAGTACTACAAAAGACTCTTATAAGTAAAGGTTATTAGCTACTAAATAAGTGTTGTTATTTTCGGTTGAATGAAATGAATTAAAAGATAACTTAAATTAGCAATCAAGAAATTTCTCTAATAAGCCAAGCAGCTTTAAGTACTGAAGTCTGGTCAGTGGCGTGGCGCACTGTGAGCACAAACTAAGTTGTTGTTTAGAAGTCTAGTTGTTGTTTCACAAAAAAAGATGAAGTAAAAATGGGGTATCACAGTATCGTACCTGAAACTTGGTTTCGTAATAAAGCCGAAAAACTGAAAAAGCCTACCTTAGTGTGAAAGGTTTTTGCATAAAACTGAGTGGGTTAAGGGAATTGACACAGAAGCAGAATGGTAATATATATACATATATATATATAATAAAATAGAATATAGACTAGAAATGAGACATGTTCTCTGTTACTCCGAGTTTCGTGCTTGCGCACTCATCAGACAGATTATAATGAGTACGCAAGCACGAAACTCGGAGTAACAGAGAACATGTTTCATTTCTAGTCTATATTCTACTTTATTATATCTATTGCTCTGTGCTTTTGCACATCGAGTACTGTCAAGTCAGAATAGACAACGCAATCTGGAATACATATATATATATATATAGGATATATTTTGATATTAGTGAGCTCTTGGTAAAATGCTGAATAAAAATACCTTTACAAGAAGCCGTGAAATTTGACCACTGTCCGTTTGCCTGGCATGTTGTCTCCAATCGGGAGCTTGTCTGAAAACCGTCATTGCATTTATAGACTACTACGTCAGAGAAGGAATATTCTTGTTGAAGTGAAACCTGATACCCATTTTTCAGCTCCGGAGGTTTGCCGCATTTTATACCTGTCAAGGAACAATTAAAATGTTTTGAACATTCGAAACTAGTAACTACAGATGAGACGAATATAAGAATTAATGTGGTTTTGGGATCTAAATAGAAATTAACAAAAAAATTGATAGATAGATGAATAAAGTGATCAAATAAATAAATAAATAACATAGATAAACTAAAAGATAAAATATATAATTGAATAAATAAATTAAAGAAATGCACGATCGAATAAATGGCACTGCCTTCGCCATATCAAGTGACGGCGGTCTGTGAACCGGAAACCGATGTAAAAAAATTAGGATCGAATTAAAACGACGAATCACACGGATGGGATGGCAAAGTTTAATTAGTTAAAACAGACAATTCGACATTAAACTGCGACAGAGAGGTACAACATTAAACTTATTTCAAAAAAGTTCGAAAAAAATATTTGGTCAGATAAAAATAGGCATAAAAAATAAAAAAACAAATTGACTGAATAATAAAACCAAACACAAAAACAAACAAGTAGAATGAATGAATAGATTTTAATAATAAATAGCTAAAAAATATCGAGCAAAACCAAAACAAACAAGAGTTAAATAAATGAAAAAATAACCAAAACAAAGCATGGCTTGATATCTGAAATATAACTAAATATATTCATTGAAATGTAAACAAGTGAAATAAGTCAAATCAAGAATTTAAAGTAAGCTTTGAGATTACCAATGCAGTTTGGTTCTCGGTTCCAAGTTCCATCTGCCTGGCACTTCAGCTCATCTGGACCAACCATGGTATAACCTTCAAGACATTCATATTTCACAGAAGAGGGGAACAGAAAGCCTCCAGAAACCAACCTGCCGCCATTGATAGGTCTTGGGTCTACGCAGGTCTTTGCTAAGAAGGGAACAAAAATTGTAAGAGTTGAGAATTACATAACAGGTTATAGAAATAACAGAATATAGGCATTAAACAAAAGATTGAAATATAAAATATATTCTGACACAACTGACTTATAGAAAGACATGATCATATAGAGCGCATAGCAAGGTCCATCTTTAACAACTATGCACAAGTACTAAGGAATATCAACAACTAAGTAGACAATTAAATCATGATAGATTCTGATTAAATTTCCAACTCTGCAGTACGACTCGGGAGACAAGTGAGCAGGATTGTTTCTTTTGGTCACTCCCCCCTTTAGCAATGCGTAGAAATGGTAGACTCCCATGCGCATGTCCATTGACCAAAAGAAATGAGGTTGCCTGACTCATTCCTTTTTACGCCTCCCAGAAAAATGCAGCGACTGATTTTACGAGATCATCTAGCATTTGCATACTTCATGTTAACCACTTTGAAGTGTCGTCCATTCGAAAGGATTGCGTTTCTTCCATTCAAAAAAGTTTAGTTGTTTATGAATTTTTCGTACCTATGTGAAGCTCGATACGTAGGGCGTACTAAACAGCGATTGGACGATAGAAAAAAAATAGCATGTTTCTTCGAGTAGGTTCCGAAAAAAGAACAGCCTAGACGTACTTATGGAAATCAGAATGTTTGAGTAAATGCGTTTCGACAATAGGCAAACTAGAATCCAGAGTGCGCCAAAAAATATAGTGATGACAATTTTAGAATCATTGGGCAAGGAAGGTAGTCTTCCGATTTTTATTAAGCACCAAAATCTTGTGCCAAAAACTTCGGTGGATTCGGTGGAAAAAATTTCGGTCATTTTTTTCTAAATTTCGGTGTATATTTCGGTGAGTAAAAAATAAAACACTTTCTGTTATTTCTATCTTCATAATAAATTATCTTGAACACAATCATAGCAGTTGCAAAAATCGAGTATCTTCTTGTCAGCCAAATAAATGGAACTGAAGAGTAGGCAAGGATGTCACCAACTCTTATTTAGAGGAGGTCTTTTCATTTTTCTAACCCATGGAGGAAAATTAATTGAAAGCGTTCGATTGCTAATCGTAACAAGGGAATTAGAATTTATGATCGATTGTGAGTTAAGTGAGGCGTCCAAATTGAAAGCACTGGAAGTTTAGAAAGAAGTAATGGAGAGAAATTATGAAGAGCCAGAAGAAGCATCAGTTATATAGATGAAAATAGTTCAGCCCATAGAGAACTCAAATATCTTGAATGTAGAAGGCAAAAGAGATGGAAGTGAAGATGAGCTGGAAGTCTTATTTGCTGATGATGACGGATAACCAGAAACTAAAACTTATATGCATTGGATGTATAGTAATACTCAAACAATTTCAAGGTAAATATATTTGTCATTTTGAAAGTCCATCGGTGTGCGGTCACTTTCGATCCGCATTTGAATAAAATTTCTGTTCATCCTTTCAAAATCGCAAGGCAAAGCAGAAACATAGCATAATCAAATACTTTTCGTCCGACACTCCTTAGGAGTATCAACTTTGGGTAAAGCCCCGGCCAAATGCTCTCGACATTCACTCGACAACGCTTGACCAATGTCAAGGGATGTATTACTCTTCCAAAGAGGGGAGGCCAAACAATCTCGACTTTCACTTGACTTTTCATATATGAGGCTATTACCTCTATGTCTCACTGAGTTAGGGGCTTTTCGTTTTTGATACTAATTTTTTGCAGCTAGCACCATTAACATTTTCTTAGCGTTATCGTGACGGTCCTTGGATTCCCCTTCGTCGCAGGACATCGCTCGCCATCTAACTCGAATCAAATGTCAAGAGCGTTTGGCAGCCTTGCCGAGTGTTGTTGAGCCTTGTCGAGACAAATTTGAACAAGGTTAAAATTGCCGAGAAGTAATGCTCGATATTTCTATAGTTTTAAATGATGTCGAACGTTGTTGAGAACGCTTGGCCAGGCTCTCGACTTTCTGCTCGACTTTTGCTTATCAACGCATGCGCAACATCTGAAGTTTGCCTTCAAAGTTGTGTTTGTTTTTTGTTCTCTTCGGATTTCTGTCTTTTGGTTCGAATAGTTTCAAAATGGCAAGTTGCAGACAATTCAACCTCGCGTTTGATGAACATTCAGATTGCAATATCCCCCTCTTTGCCATTTTCTTGTCTTTGAGAATAATAGAGGAGCGATAGTTTTAGCCTGCAACGCTTTCGAACTTCGGTATAGCAGTTTCGATTTCATAAAGACACACTAGGTTAGGAGAAATACCGCAACAATCGCAAAAACAACAAAACAATAACTGCAACAACGATCGACACTAATAAGGCAGCCACGTCCTATTCCTACTACGTTCCATATAGTTAATCTTTCGATTCTACTGTTCTGTTCTCTCCTTAACTGTTTCTCCTTCTATTCTTTTTACCTGATAAAGAGTTATGCTCGAAACTTTTTTTGTATAAAGTCGTTATTCTATTTTATCAGATTTTGTTCATTTTCGACGCACAACACGCACAACTTCATTGATGAACAATTTAAAGGCAATCTGTCTCGTTGTGGATTGGTTAACGAGAACAATAGCCGGAACAATAGCCTAAACACGTTTCCAGCGCTCCGCCATATTTTTTACAATGCGATAAATTAAAAGGGGACTGGAAACAAAACAAAACCCTTTGTTCTTATAATCAATCAACGTCGTGACAGATTGCCTTTAATATAACCTCCTCGCACGAGGCCAACATGGGTCACAGCATGGGTCGTTACCAGACTCCAGCATCGGCTGCACATCAGCACCGTTCTGAAGGGTCTGACAACTGGATGCCGGCTATTTCGCAGAGGGTGGTATTTGCACCAATTTTAATATTCAATTTATTTTAGTAAGGTTAAGTGTCCTTCACAATAGCTTTACGTATCCTTTATCAGAATCAGACAGAACAAGAGTATTTTTACGCTCTTTTTAAGGCGAAACCGAAACGCATTCGAGGCCATATTCTGATTTGTGAAAATACGAGTGAAATGTCGAGAGCGCGTTTGGCTTGAAAATTGTGCATTGATCTGCCAATTTGATAACAAACCAGTTCAACTTACAGCCTAATTCTAAAAATTACACCAAACTTCATTGAAAGATTTTTTAAATCTCAGGTTAGGATTAACGGCTAAACTGATAATCCGAATAAAATTTCTCATATTGATTGCATTTTATCCGATGGTTTAATTGAAAACTTATAAGAATCAATCTAGGTGAAAATCTTCGCCCCGAGTTGCCTATAACGGTGAAATCTTATACAAAATGATTAACTTTATATTGTCGTGAAATCAATACTACGGGCATTAGCATCATGAAAACTTACACGAAGACTAGAATCCTGGCCCTTAATCCGAAGTCAAAAACTTGGTACAAAGAAGCCTGAAGCATTCCACAAAATAAGATTGTAAATTGAACTGGTGTATTCAAAAAATAAAATGCAGAGCCATTCGATAGCAACCGGCATATTAAATATGAAAAAAATAAATTCAGCTCACGTTCACAACGCGACTTCCGTTTCGACCACTGCCCATTTTCTTGACAAATTGGCTGTCCATCATCGATTAAGTCATAGCCATTGTCACAAGTGTAAGTCAGTTTACAGTTGTATGTATTGGTGCAAGACGTTCCAGCATCATCACCTGTCACTTTTCCGTTCTCAATATTCAAGTGTCCCGCATCACATGTGACAACTGAAACAATATTGTCATGAAAGTTTTACAACTGGCAAAAAGTACTAAGGCACTAAAAGATTGAATGACATAATTTATGATGTGAATGGAAATTCAGAATATTGGAAATCGGACTACATAACAATTGGACGCCAATCATTGGGTGGGTGGTATTTTTTCCATAATTTGGTAGTGATATTTTTCCAAAGATTGAGAGCCACCTGTAAAAACGACGTTTGTCGCACAAAATGGATGTTGATGTGTAATTATAAATGAAGTTTTATTTCTTGATAGTCACTATCAGTTGGTAGAAATGAAATACATCCACTAGTTCATAAAAAACTAGTCCGTTATCCTGAATTTTTTAAGCGATACGAACAATCGATAGATTTCTTTTATTATAACATTTTTTACGGCAAATCAGTTGACAAACATAACTTAGAATTTCAGGCCAATTAGAGTAATAAATTATAGAAATAACTATAGTGGTTATTCCTACTTACACTTGCATGTTGGCTTTTTGCTCCATTTGCCACTGCCCTGGCACGTGATTTCTCCAAAGCCCTGCATAGCAAATTTTGGGTAGCACTTGACTGATCGCTTGTCGTTAAACTTTTGCTCAAAGTTTTCGTATAAACCATTTGGAACTGGCCCTGGATCTCCGCAATCAACCCCTGTATGAAAATGTCTTTGGATTTCATTGATTGCAAACATTTTTTGCGTTGCAAAAAATTGTCGGCATTGCAAACATTTGAACAAAAATCTGTCCCAAAGTTAACTTGCCAAAAATTTGTCATTCGAAAACTATTAGTACATGCAATCGTATTGTTTAAAAGTGCCAATGACTGAAGAGGAAACCGAGATCAAATCAAGGGAGAAATGAAACACAAGACCTTTCAATGAGAAAGGGCTAGCAAAATGACTGGTCAGCTTTTCGCAAGTAAGATCAATGTTTGGGCCTACTTTTGAAAAGGTCTTGTGTTTCCCCCACCTCCCATTCAGGAAATAGCATTTGCCATTCCATAAGAAACCTCATCAAGGAGGTTTTCCAATCCTAATCGCTTTTGCCTTGGCCAGAATTGGCAACTAATATCATGGAAACAAAAGATTGACAATTTATTAAAAAGTGAAAAATACACATTATAAACAACCATAAAATCCTTATTTTGAGATATAAAGGTCAACTTTTAGTACTTCAGTTTCTTAAAGCTTTAGGAAATCTCAAGACTCGGTGTTTCTTAAGAGTTCCCTAGTGATGATCTCATATCTTAGCTTCATGAAAGCAAATTTTGTTCGTAGTGGCATACACAAAGACTCGTCAATGATTCTATTGCTTTCAAATGATCGTGGCATTGCTGTCAAGGGATTCAAATCTGTTCTAAAGCTGCAAATGAACGAAGGAAGCATACTTTTATTGAATGAGTTTTTAATTTTTGTAAACCTGCCAATTATCACGGAATTGATGGATAGTCACGGAATTTGGGGCTCTTGGTTTTCCAAAATTCAATTTTTTTACATTTTGCCTCGATTAAAGTATTGTCAAGTGCTCTTTTTATAATGAGATTCTTGCAAAAAGATGACTCTGGAGATAACAGATAACAGAGAAAAGGACAAAAAGATAGACAGACAAGAGTAAAAAAGGACCAATAGAAAAGTTTCGCTTTTTAAACCACTTATTTCAAAACAGAGGTAGAAATTGCAAATTTTTTTATCCAATTAAAAAGAGTGAACTTTCGATTTTAAATTTCGGACAACTTTGACTCTCTGAATACTGTTCGTTCTTTGAAATAGAAATAAGTGCTCGTTGTAGAATAACTGGTCTCAAGTATGAATACCTTTTTTACTAATATCTAAAAATTATAATAGACTTTTGGTAAAACTAGAGTAGTTAGCCACAGAACACCTCAGTCCACCCCGTTACTATACGCTTCTTCAACCAACAGAAAAACTTTCCTTAATTTAACTGGTTTGGACATAAAGAATAACTTTGCAAGCTTTGTTGTTACAAACAGGATAAGAGAGGTGACGACTAATGCGTGAGAGTAAAAAGTGCATAGCTGAAGAAAAATACGTTACTTACGTTCACAAATAGGAGTGGATCCACTCCATTTTTGGTTCGCAAGGCAATGTCTGGTAGACTGCCCTCTCAGAAAGTATCCGTGGTTGCACTTGTACTCCACGGTGTTTTTGTAGGTGAAGATGGTACCTTCAATTCGCCCATTCCTTACGCCGTCCGGTCTTCCGCAGTTCTTTGCTGTATAAATATGATACAATTTAGGTAATGTAACTTCAGCAACATTATTTTGAAAAATAAACAGACTTAAAGCGGGTGCTGTTTACTTCGAAAAATTGCAAGCAGAGTTATGGAGTATTCTCAAACAGACTTTCAACCGGGTGCAGTTCATGCAAACCTAGATTATAAAGCGTATTACACCGTCTGTGAGGTGTTACCCTGTATCTAGAGAGCCATTGTTTGTGCAGACATTCGTGAAATACGGCTAACTTTTATATTTTAGCTTAACTCTTTCGCAGGAAGGAAAATGACACACATCTGACAAGCTTTTCTTAAATATAGTCAATAGTTTAGCTACTGGCTTTCTATCAAGTTGTACACATTAATCGCCAAGATTACTTTAATCTACTCACGCCTACCATAGCGAAACCCCAGCCTAATCCAGCCAACCTCAGCCTACCAAAACATATCAAAGGCTACCCTAGCCAGCCCCAGCCTACCCTAGCCAGCCCAAGCCTACCCTAGCCAACACCAGTTTACCCTAGCCAACTCCAGACTACCCTAGCCAGCCCAAGCTTACCCTAGCCTACCCATGACTACCTTAGGCAACCCCAACCTATCTTAGCCTACCCATGCCTATCATAGCCAAATCATAGCCAAACCTAGCCTAACATAACATACCAAAGGCTAACCTAACACACCCCAGCCTAACACAGCCTACAAAAGGCTACCGTAGCAAATCAAAGTCTGTCATAGCCAATGAAAGGCTACCCTAGCCAACCCTAGCCTACCATAGCCTATCCTAGCCTACCCATGTCTACCCTAGCCAACGAAAGCCTATCCTAGCCAACCAAAGGCTACCCTAGCCTACCTATGCCCACCCTAGCCAACCTAAGCATATCTTAGTCTATCCATGCCTGCCCTAGCTAGCCGCAGCCAATCATGGCCTACCAAAGATTTCCCTAGCTTACCCCAACTTATCGTAGTCTACCCCAGCCCACCCAAGGCTACCCCAACTCAAGCTAACCCACACCAGTTTAGCCTACCCGAGCCCACCCTAAATGTCAATGTATCCAATTAGACTATTTAGAATAATAGTGAATATTGATTTTTATAACCTTTCATGCAAAGTTTCGGAACCATATACTTTGCATAATACTTTGCTTAACGGCTTTTTCAAACACAAATTTATGAGTATACAATATTAAATCTAACAGATTCATCAACCAGGTCTACCATATTTTCGATGCAGAAGAATTAGCAGTGTATGGATCTCCAAACTATTTCACGCCAACAAGAACGATATGAAATTTAAACTATGCTCTTTTTCATTTCAACAACTTATCTTATAGGAGCTCGGAGGGTCGATTTGCTGTGCTACCAAAACAAGAACAGCAAAAGAACATACCCAACCACAGGTTGACCAAAGGAGAAATACAATGCGCTTTGAAAAACATACTCTCGTGTTTACAAGGCACGTTTTCCAGCTTCAAACAGTGCTACTAAAAATGTATGCCAAATTATTATTTAGTGGCCTTAAAACAATTTATAGTAAATAGTATTAGAAAAATTCCACGCTGAAGTAACAGCAACAATAAGAACACTCGAGCAATAACAAAGTAATTTGGTTCTTGTAAAAAAGAATAATTCACTTACGTAGACAATATGGGATGCGAGCTGACCAGCGTGCGGAATTTTGAAGGCAAGTAATTGATTCCGCACCATACAGTCGATAGCCACTGTCACATTGAAATAAGATGGAATTGCCACTTTTAAAGCCGTTGAATGTTCGATTGCCATTTTTAGGTAGTCCAGGGTCACCACAGTTTGCTGTTTTCATAGATTAATAAGATTAATGGAAGTGACACGAAATTTATTTCAATGCAAAGATACTTTTCAACAGAATATCAAATATGGCAGAGAAAAGCTGTTTTCATATATTCACATTTTTATATATTTGATCTATGTGAAAATATGATCAATCGAAACAAAGAAATATCTAATCGTCTCGAAGCCCTCAAATCTCAGCTTTGAAGAAAAAGTTGATAAATCTCCAGAATAGGGAAGTTAACATAATGCAAAACTTGTTTTCAAGAATCAAAAGAGAACCATAATCTTTGAATTGCTAAAAAATCATGAAAACAAATAGTAACGAAGGATAAAACTGGAAAGTTGAAAGTGAAAACTTTTACGCTTATAGCAGCTGTTAGTTCGCTGTACGTTCACAGATAGTGTGAGAAACAAACTTTGATAAGAATATTGTGGCTAAAAACTGTTAAAATTTAAAAAACAAGGCTTGAATTTTATAACAGAGCACTTTCTGAGTTTATTTAAATATTGTTTTAAGGAGCAGAAAATACTTTACAATGTGGCAGCTTCCGACCTAATTCCGCGTTTCTTTTCTCGAAGAAACAAACTACCCATCGAGTCGATTTGAAAAAAGTCTGAGCAACTATATGTAGGGAAGTTTTTTTTAAATTGAATAGGAATTGGAGACAAAAATATTAAAATATTGTGCAACAGACTCGAAAAGGTTTTAACACATCAGAAATAACTGACACGATATAAATTAAAACTTTGATATACATTTGTTAGAAACTTCCCTGGGTATCGTATGAAAAACAGAAGTTTAGAGGAAGTTTATATGCAAAGGTGCAAGTTGGAAATGACAAGAGAGCATTATTAGTGTATTTTATTGGTTTTTGATACTAAGATATATTATATGATATATTATATACTATATTATATGAGACTTAACTGATACAGAACAATATACAATTATATTTCTCCAATTCAAAGAAATCAAAGTTGGTTTTAATTAGCTTTCAATAAATTTATCAGTTAATATATGTTACCCACTTGAAAGAAAGTAAAAGTTCCCTCCACATTGGGATATTCTAGCCCCACGTTTTGGAAGACCAAGTATCACTTAGGATAACAATTTTTTTTAGTAAACCTGGTGGAAGCCGCGCTCCTCTAACTACGGCTGCTTTCCAACCCGCACTGATGATAAAGATTCCTCTTTTCGCCTTTACTTGGTATTTTGTACTTTAAGTAGTGTCTTGTGAAAGGATTTTAAACATGGCTGCAACGCCCGCCAAGCAGCGGCTTTCAGCCATGAGGTCTTGATTTAAGAGTTTGGCTCTTTTACATTGTATCTAGGTTTGATTTATGTTTTTACGTCCGACAGCGCATGCGTTGTCCAAATTCGCAGCCCGATTTGCCGGGCTTGCCCAGCTTGAATCGATTGTGTGAGCAAGACATGAAATTGCAGCCCGCTTTGCGGGGCTAGCCCGGAATTGCAGAATAGGGGATTCCGTCGAACCGGGGTAGCCCGTTCTCCGAGTAATCGAAAATTTGCTTAACACAAAGCATGCTTTTGATACCGGGATCTCAACAAAATTTTTCCTTCTCGGTAAACCTGGCCATCCCGCTACATGTAACCAGCCCCTGAGTAGTGTCCTGTGAAAGGCATTATCGGTATGAGTAATATGATCCTACTTTTCGTGCAATGCAAGAATCTTACCAATGCATCTTGGTCGCCGATCCCAGGTCCCATCAGCCTGGCACTTCAGTTCATCTGGCCCATCCATATCGTAATTGTCATAGCACTCGTATTTTATAACATTAGGATACACAAACCGTCCACTCACTAACCGGCCACCAACGATAGGCCTTGGGTCGCCACAATTCTTTGCTGCATAAAATAGAGGACACTGGAATTATTGTGCTGCATTTCATTTTGATGATTTTATGCTGCAATTAAGTAAAATACACCCAAATGAAAAGAAATTAAAGTCTTCTAAATGGGACTGAGATGCTTGTTCAATGATACATCTTTTGAGAAAGCAGTAAAAGATCTGAAATCAGCACTCACGGAGGACTCGGTGAGCCATGATACTTAAACTGGCAATACAAATAACAACTAGGATTTTTCACTTTTTCACTTCATTCCCTTTTAAGTAAATTTGCCAAAATATCTTAACTTAAAACATGAACAAAACCTACCGCAATACTGCCAGCATTATTTTATTAGAATAATCAAATATTTATAACATGGTTAATTTGTTTTCGGCGTTATCGCTGCAGTTTTAAGTTGTATCGGCATCTGTTGTTGACAACTTGCTATTTATAAAGAACCTTTTGTTAATCAGAATGAGGTTAGTTCATGTGACCATTTCCCGGTCAACCAATAGCGCCACAGCAGGAAAGTCATGACTCAGCAGATTTGAGTACCTTTGGGTATACCGTCTATTTTTATCATGACACAAAGCCTTTAAATTGCAATTCATAAAAACAGTTCCTTTTCAATTCAAACAGAAAAGAAGCTAAAGTTAACCCGTCCCATAGGTTTCCTCTCTATGAGGTGTATCATTCCTCATCATTCCCGTCCTAATAGTCAAATCATAGAGCAATGCGCAAAAGCCATTACAACAGTGCAAATCACCTAAAGAAAAAGTCCCAAGACAGAGAGGTACCTCCGTAAAAGAGTGGCGATGAGGCTTGGGGGCCTGATCTTCCCCAACAATTTACATAAAACATTGCAAAAATTATCTTGATTTTGGCATGTTCAGCACCGCCAAAAAAACTAGTTAGCCCCCTTCTCAATCTGTATTGCTCCGAAGCCCTTGATGTCTGAAGCATGTTAAAGCTGGAGGGGCACTGCCAAGGAGAGACACCATATTGCAGGAAAAGAGGGATCTTACAAAAGAGCGTTATTAAAAGATGGGGGTGTGTGTCCATGATAGTTGATTTAAAGCGAGCAAACTGGTTGAAACTATTGTGTCCTTTGAATGCATCAACCAAACATAGGAATGAAAGGTCGAGTCAGTCTTACGTTCACAACGTGACTTCTGTTTTGACCACTGTCCATTGATTTGACAAATTGGATGTCCAGTGCTATATAAGTCATAGCCATTGTCACAAGTGTAAGTCAGTTTACAGTTGTATGTATTGGTGCAAGACGTTCCAGCATCATCACCTGTCACTTTTCCATTCGCAATAGTCACATGTCCCGAATCACATGTGACACCTGAAACAATACGTTCGATAGAATCAGGAAAGTAATAGCAAAAGCTGGCAAGAGAGTGAAAAGCAATTCAGTATAAACCAAAGTTTTTTCAAAAATCATTAATCAGGTGCTGGTCAAGGGTCATTTATAAGGACAAGACAGGAAAATGCCTGTATATGAACGGTCGATGATTATTTTCCGGCAAGCCTAGCTTCCTGCTTCACCGGGAAAATACCACGGAAAATTGCTGCTTAAGAACAGCCTCATAGAAAACGAGCACGACTAAAAACACAGCTAATAAGGTTAGACAGTCAAACAATATGTAAAATTTGGAAGAAATATCCAATTTTGTCAAATTCCCTTTTCAACGTTGTTTTGAGCGGCTACAGAAGGTCCAATAAAAGCATCGTTTTGGCGATTAAACTTACGCGAGCATCTTGGCTTCTGACTCCATTTTCCGCTGCCTAAACAAGTCATTTCAGTAGGGCCGCTTATAACATAGCCGGTGTTACATCCAACATAATGCTTGTCGTTAAATTTGGTGCCATATTTTTCATATTTCCCGTTTGGAAGAGGACCTGGATCTCCACAATCAACACCTGCATGGAAAATAAAATTGACTTTTAATTTGTACATAATATATAAAAACTAAACCTATAAAATCAGCGCTATTTTTTTAAGGAGAAAAAATATTTAGAAATTGACAAAAATAAGTTCTTTGAGCACTATGCACAGTCCTAAGAGAAACAAACTTGAAAAAAATACGCAACGTACATGAGAATCATAATAAAGTACTTTCATTCCGGCGCTCAAGGTACAGAGATTTCAGGCTGTTTGAAATACTGCAAAAGTATCATCAAGGTTCCAAAAGAATGTTTAGAGTTGGGAGAGAGTTTCACCAAGATAACGTTTCGTACCAGCAAAATCTCAAATTGAGCCGAAGCAAGCTAATAGACAGGGATTATTATAACATGCAAAATTCTACTGTTTTGCGTCTGTACTATAATGAAACTTTAGAAAGCAAGTTGTTTGACAAAATGAAAAGTTTCCACAGCCATAACTTTTTGCATATAGGTAAGATCGCATTGCTCTTTTTATATCTTTTGCTCAGTTTCGCAAGCCCGTTCTGATGGTATCATCAAATTTGAAAAATTCGAAGTTCAAAATTTTGCTGACCGTGCATTTTTCAAGCTTCCGGAAACGCAACTTCCGGTCATTTGCCAGAATGTTCCCAAGGCTTAAAATGATCAGTGGCCTTTACTCTAATGATTTAAACTTTGAAAACTTAGGTTAAGCAGGTTACTAGATGGTTATGCAAAATTCCCTGTCTATAACACTTTGCAATACCTTTGTCATGAAATTTTCTAACTTTTTTTTGAAGAAGCTAATGAACTAGCAACCTTTATCGTGGTATATTGTAATTTAGATGTGGGAAATTAATTATGTTGAAAAAGTACTATGTTAACGACTTTTTGGACACTTTGCCATATCCTGTTTGGTAAAAGACAAAAAAGACTTAAAAAAATTTTCAATACTTATTTCATTGAGGTCCTATTTGTATAGCTGTAAAATTTTCACAAATCTTTACATATATTTCCAAAATCCATGTGTGAGTAATCGATTCGTGTAAAACGCCGAAATAAAAGAAGCAAATACGCTGTATCTTGGATTGCTATTACAGTAGGAGATTAAATGTTCTTGAATTTTCAATCCTTCACAAATAAGATTGAGAAGTCCTAATTAAAATTTTTTTCAAACTTTTCCGAAGCTGTTCATGCAATATTATTATCAAGTTAGGGGTATTGACAGCTTACAGATCTAGGGTGTTAAAACGATAGCAAGCAAAAGCTCAAAGTCAATGAAATCACAACACCCCCTATTTTTGAGAATAATTTCAAGAAGTTAAAATAAAACCATTGTGAGATCTTGAAGGGCACACCTCAGTCCACCCTGTTGCAATACGCTTCTTCAACCAACAGAGAAACTTTCCCTCATTTAATTGGTTTCGTCGAAAAGAATAATTTTGCAAGCTTTGTTGTTATAAACAGGATAAGAAAAGCGAAAACTAATGTGTGGGAGTATAAAGTGCATAGCTGAAGAAAAATACGTTACTTACGTTCACAAATAGGAGTGGATCCACTCCATTTTTGGTTCGCAAGGCAATGTCTGGTAGACTGTCCTCTCAGAAAGTATCCGTGGTTGCACTTGTACTCGACGGTGTTTTTGTAGGTGAATAGGGTACCTTCAATTCGCCCATTCCTTACGCTACCGGGCATTCCGCAGCTTTTTGCTATGTGAATTTAAAGAAATGACTCGAATCAATACCCGTGACATTAATGCATTGCGCTGCAAAATAGGCTCAGTATACATAAGCTCTCCATCCTGCAGAAAATACACGGGCTGATAGCGTTATCTAATCGCTATGTTAAGGTTAAAGCTATGACCTTCGAATTAGAAAATTTTTATGTTTCCATTCCTGAATGATAAAAACAGCCAAGCATTGCATTAACTAAATCCTTAGGGCCCAAGATTTAGAATCACATTGCTCACGAAACCTAATCGTCTCAAAAAGTGCCTGAATATAAATAGTTTTTATGTGCCTTAATATCATTCATAACGCAATCTCTATTATTATTTCATATTAGTATGCATCGGTACCCATGCTATTGGATTACCAAAATAATAACTGGCATATTTTATAGGTAGGCATAGAAATTCGTGGTGGCCTAGGTGAAAAGTTTGCGACCAGTTTTTCGAAATGACAAGTCTGGATCTCTGAAGTGGTGTCTAGCAGTTGTTACCAAAGAGATACCTGATTTAAACATGAACAGGCACAGATTTCATGTCCATGTTAAGGTCTTACTCTTAAGTAAACTATCTGCCTTATTCTAAATGGCAGATTAACAAACAATATCTATGGACTATACTATGGAGTCCAATGTTTGAAAATATGACCAGGAAATTTTTTTTGGATTTGCAAGAAGCTAAAGATAATCCTTGAGTTTCCAAAAACAAAAAATAAATTCCAACTTACGAGCACATTTCATGGTAGTTGTTCCATATGACCTCCAGCCAGTGGAATGGCAATAAAGAATAGAGCTTCCCAAACGATTGTAGCCATCAGTACATCTGAGAAAAATGCGGTCACCATATTGATAGGCCACTTCTTTACCTCGGTAAATGTGGCTATTTTCTGGCAGGTTTGGTTGATCGCACGTTTTTACTGAAACGAAAATGTGAAACAGGATGAACCAAATAAAAATCCCAAGGAACAACTGTAGTTTTTTTCACGCACTTTAACAGGCAAATTTGTGAGCAACAGTTGGGGTTCGCTGGATAGGGTTCAGTCCGGGCACAGCTTAAACATTGCTCTAAAAACTGCGGCTGCAAGGAGGTTCGCAAGTGGCTGCAAGGAGGTTCGCAAGTGGCTGCAAGCTACATTTTATAAACTCTACCATCTTTCTGTCTACCATGCTGATGATTATGATTATTATTACTATTACTATCTCATCTCTATTATAAACATTACTATTACAAACTTTCAAGCATTTCCATTCGCAATTCAACTTTTTTCATACAATGCAATCTCAAGATATAAACATAAAAGATAAATTTGCATGATATGCGACCCAAGAAAAGCGAAGTATATCGAGCCTGGATACAGCATAATTAGCTTGATCGCAGCATTCAGAGTTCTTGGTATTTTAGAAAAATCTTGCGAAACCTTCCTTGACATGTGCGAAACGCTTTTTATTGATCAACAGCACAAACATGAAGCTGGACTAACATTTAAATCAATAATAAGTGTTCTTTTCTTATTTCTTTATCAGTCTTGATTTTACATACTATTGTAATAATCTCTTCTTTTAAAACCAAGCTAGCCAATTACAAATTACTTTGTAAGATTGAGATTTGATGATGATGGTTATGAATGATTACCTTCACATTTAGGCAATGGCTCACTCCATGTCATATCTCTTTTGCACTTCGCAGAGGTGCTACCTTTCAGGATATACCCTGGGTTGCACCTAAACCTCACAGTTTGACCAATATCGAATGATCGACTGACAATTCGGCCATCTTTAAGATTACCGGGGTCTTTGCAACGTCTCACTAGAAAGGCAAAGTCAACATTGCAGTTCACTGGAATGTACGCAACATTTTTGAGAAGTCATACCCTGCAGTCATACCCTGCATTGAGAAGTCTTATTTCTTTGGCACAAGAATATAAAATGATACAAAAAAGAAGCTTCTAGGTAGTGCCATTGCATCTCTACATGCACTTTCATAAGAAACCGTCTATAAAAAACCAAGCCCTGATATAACCAAAAAATTAAAAAAAACTTAGTCCTGAACACCATCAACATGAATAAACTGCTCCAAAAACCATCTTCTAAAGATGGGATTGAATAGAAATGATAGTTTTAAATGATTTGCCGCTTATTCCATTGACATGCATATAAACAATAGAAGCAGGAGCTTGTCCAGATGGAGGGTCGTTGGGGCTGTCACAGTTTTTAAGAAGCCGTTGGTAAATTTGGGCTTGCTGGTAACATTGAGATTGTAACCATGGCTTGTTGGTATTTGTCGCCTATATCTTCAGGGACGCCACTTCATAAAATTGTGTTTGGCTTTTCATAAAGTCTGGCTCCATTAAAACACATGTTGAGGGTCTAAAAACTCTCATATTTGGCCACATGTAAGGGAACAAGAAGAGAGGGCTGTAGCTTTTGGTAGATGTTTCTATAACAATGAAATCCCCGCTTGATCTCTAAAAATGTTGGTTGTTTTTCTTGCACTACAAACTTCCTTCTTTCTACTTCTAATTTAATTCGGCTTTAATCTATTCCAGATTGTCCTAGAGTCAGCTGAGCTGATTCTTTCTCTCCACCTTCGTATTGTTATTACATTCCACCTTACCCCTATTGTTAAACTGTGTTTTATTTATCATAAAACTTCCAACACATTATTCATAGTGATTTAAAAAAACAAACCAAACTTTGGGCATAATTAAAGAGAAAGCTTACGAATATTGCTCCAAAATTATTCCTTCGCTCTAAAATTCCATGCTGTAAATATTTTAGATACAGTTTCTTGTCTAAGATACAGATACAGTTTAGATTCAGGGCACTGGGTTCGATAACCTTTCAGGTTTATCTCAGTGTCCTAGGCAACACTCACGGACATTCTCTTTATAATTCTTTAATTCCTCTTTATGATTAAGACAATAAGTAAATATATTTTCAATAAACACGCTGTAAAAATGTTGCTTAATGAAAATAAATTTGAATTTGAATTTGAATCCAAAGAATGTTATGTTTTCAAAATGCTCCTTGCCGAGAAGGATGATGGCTGCCTACATCAAACCCCAACTTTGATAACGCTTTGTTTGCCCTGTCCACCGTATCGATATTCTCGTCTGATACTGAACCAATCAATGTATTTGGCTGCTCAACCATTGTTACAAAAAACATCAACGTTGATATTCTTTTATTTAAAAATTTCATAGAAAGAACAAACTTAGATTGCTCTGTGACAACATACTATTTAATTGTAAAGTTTCCTTATAAAATATTTTCTTCATAATTTGGGTGTTTAGCCAACCATGAACCACTGCCATTATTAGTGACGTCACAATATTTAGGCATGCATTTAGGTTTTGCTTTAGAAATTCATACACTATATAAAAAATTTTTTGATCAAAACCTGTCAAAAAATTCCCTTTGCTGCACATCCCAACCCCCACCAGCCCCCTAAACTTAAAAGTCCTTCAGCACGCTACTTGATAGTGTACAAGAAGCTGTGCATTCTTATGATCGGGAACCATACGGCTGACGTTTCCAGATTTCCTTGGGGGTCGAAACCAAACACTGTCAAAAACAAGTATTTTGTTCCTACCGCATTCAGTTCTTCCTTTGTCCCAAGGTTTCCATTTTCCAATTCCACTGCACGTGACTTGGCTTGGCCCAACCAGCGTGAATCTATTGTTACATTTATATGATACCACATCTCCAACCTTAAAAATACTGTCCTTATAAGGTCGTGAATTCAAGAATACGTTTCCCTGCTTCAATGATGTAACCAATGAAGGGTCCACTCGGCATTTCTGATCTATTGAATAAATGACCTTTGATTAGCAAAATTGATAGGGGTATACACTACACTTTTCCTTTGAGAAAGTCTTTTCTAAGAAACTCTTAGGAGCTTTTTTCTTAGAATTAGGAATCTGTTCTAGCAGGAATCAAGGAGAAACAAGAACTCACGATACAGTTTTACTGCATTAAGGGTAGCTACTGTATTTTCTGCTTTCCGAAACCTGGATGAAAATAAAGACTTTCCTCAAACAAGTTTTTTGAGATTTTAGTTTTTTGAATTTACTGTTTTACCGGCGTTATCTATAAAAACTCGGGTGTTCTTTTCTTTCTTTCTTTTAAAGTTGCTACAAATTTTAGCTACACTAAAGCTATTAAAACCAAATAATTTAGATTACCATCAAATAATAATCTAAATGTTTTTCTAATCTAAGTTGATGCTATTCTAATCTTTGAATTAATTCTAATTTTGCATTTGAATTCTAGCCATTGATTTTAATATTAGATTCGTTTAAATTTTCACAAAACGATTTATAAAGTATAGCTGCTTTATAAAGTATAATAGTCTGCCAAATTGTATTGTCATGCGCAAAGCTGCCAAGGCTGCTTTTGCTCAAATAAAGAAAAATGTCATTCGTGTAAATGTTAAAAAAAGCAACAGGCCTAAGATTGATCCTTGAAAAACTCCTTGCTTTGTCTCCATCCAATCGCTAAAATTGAAGTTTATTTTTACGCGTTATTTATCTAGACAGCTTCACATGTATTCCATTGCGTTTTCGCTGTAGCAATAAGATTTTAAGTTGTTAACTTTTTTATTTGAATTTATATAATGGCAGAGCTGTAGACATTCTAATACATCAAGGTAAGATGTAGCTAAGCGGGTGTCGGGGTGTGGAGTTGTAGGGGGTGTAACGATCCAATTATTCATGTTTGGCCGTTTAATCTTCAATTAGTCTACACAATTTTTACTTCATCGGATATAGCATCCCAAACTTTCCTAAGAAATGTCTTGACCCTTCAACCCACTAGTTTAAAGGTGAAGCTTCGTCTCTTGATTTAAGATTATGTTAACAAGTTAACAGTAGAATTTTACAATTTGATAAAAAACGGTTCCCTCCAATAACCGCTGCATTTATCCCATCAAATGTTCACTTAATAAGGGAAGTTGCAAAAGGCGTTGGCTGCTGGGCCTGGCAGCTCTCGGTACCTTTACCGTCGTTATGGACGCGTTTGGGGTGCGCAATCCTATTTTCCCCCATCCAATTTTTCTACTTTTTCTCCAGATTATGGCAGTCAGGGCAGTTTTGCGATGCACTCCAATATTTGAGTCAGCGTTCCTTATCAATGTTACCTCTGCGATGAAACATCTTGGGGGAGGGGTTTGGGGATCTAGTACTCCCAACTAATTTCTAAGGCTTAATTTGATATTAGTTGCTGTGACAAAACTCTTTGGCATATGAATGTACATGTGTATGTAGTGAATCCGCTTCTGCAACCCCAACTCCCTGCAACAATTCCTTTCGACATGCGTAGTGACTTGTCTTCAAAAATATTCCCGCTTTCATGAGTATAAGTCGATTGATTTTGAAGCTTATCAGAGCTAGAGCTTTTATGATTATCATGCGAATGTGAATAACTATGAAGCATTATTTTTGTACAATCTAACACGATGCGAAGTACTGACTCAATCTGGTGGGTTCGTGTATTTAATTTACGAGGATATAGCAGATATTGAACAATCTAATTGATTGCTTCCATGAAGCAGTTTGAACAACTTAATCTTTCTGGGCGTGTTTTCAAATGCATGTTCAGGCCCCGTCTGCATACGCAGCATGAAAATGCAGGAAAAGCTTAGATGAAAATCAGAGAAAATATCTCAGGCAGCAGGATTTCTCTTCATATGTTGTTATATATTATTTCTTTGGGTTTTACAGGAAAACCCCATGGAGTGAGAACTTGGGCTCTAAAACCCGACTCAAATTTAGTTAAGTATAGGGGCCCCAAACACTACTTTCCATAAGGGCCCCACACTGCTCCGTACGACACTGCAGAAAAGTCGCTTTGCTACACATTCCATTCCCAACTTCGCACCTTTGATGGTTCCCCTAACGAAGAATAGGAAGCTTTTTAAACGGAATTCAATTCCTCGAATCTTCAATATCCTGTTACGTATATCATCAAGAGGAGACAATACGTTCTAAGACACGGGGGTTAGACTGATGCGGTATTGTAGCATCTTGTAGAAGTTCGTATAATGTTTTGCTTGGAAGAAAACATTGAGAGATTTACAAAACATGAAAAAAGTAATAGGTGTATTGAAGTGTTAGAATTTAATGTTTTTTATTTTTGAACATTTGTGCTGTGTTGTCAATAACTGAATTCAGATTAAATATTATATTTTGAGAAGAAACAGATATTTTGAGAAGAAACAGATATTTTGAGAAGAAACAGATATTTTGAGCTAGTGGTCTGCAAACAAAATTATGAACCAAAAAATTTATCTGCGCTGACTTTCCCATCTGTTTTAACCCTGAATGACTTGGGACTTGATGGAAAAATAAAAACAACGTTTCATAAAAAGAGGAATTTTGATAAATAACTTGTCTCTGCAGAAATTATGATTTTGAAAAACCAAAATGTTGCAGCATAGATAACGAAGGGAAGTAGGGAAGTGGAGAAAGGGTCTTCAGCAAATTCTTGGGAGGTCAAGCCTAATGTTTTGATAAGATGGCGTCATATTTTCCCATGGTTTTAGAACAAAAGACCATTGTCCTGCAGAATATTGAAGGAGCCACCCCCTCCCTTGCCCCCAGATGTCCTCCACTGCCAGGTTAAACAAACTGCTGACAGTGATGATGATTATCGTTATGCCTAGAAAAATATTAGCAAGAACTATGCAAAAACATTTAAATAAATACTTGTTTTAATGCAGCTTAGTCCGCAAGGTCCATCACAAATGCACTGTTTCTTCCTTTTCTTTGATTTCGTTTTGCAGTCTTCGTCGGAGGAGCAACTTTTTCTGCATCGATGGTTTTGTTCTGTTCGTTTTGGGCAGTCAGTTGCAGCTATTTTGGAACAAAATGGTTAAGATTGATAAAAATATTATACCAAGCATATTTTTGATACCGATGATAATAAGTTAATAACTAATAATAGCATTTCGTACATTTTACATTTTATTTCAAATTGTGCTTTTGGCCCATTTCAACTTATCCGCAAAGAAAACCACATCTTTTTCCAAATGGTGGCTGATGACATGCAATCTATTATTAGAAATGGCAGAATAAATTGTTGCAGGTCACTTTCGTAGTAGAAGTCTTCCAATGTACTGTAAAATTAGTTTCAAAAGTCCATAGCTCTCTCTCTCTCTCTCTCTCTCTCTCTCTCTCTCTCTCTCTCTCTCTCTCTCTCTCTCTCTCTCTCTCTCTCTTTCTCTCTCAGGTCAAAATTTTCAAGTTTAGAGCTCAGTGTTTAACGGGATCGCTTGTAAAAAAGAAAAAGTTAGTTTGTTTGTTAGATTGCTAGAATATATACCCTGTCTATAGTAATTCTTAAACTTCTATTCAATATAAGGTAGGGTGTGCTGAAGTAGAGGGGTGTAATGTATTATTTTTCATAAGATTTTATAGGTAATTGTTTTGTCGAGTCAGGAAAATTTCAAACGAAGATATTAGCTTTTCTATAATATATTCGTAGGATCATTTTTAACACCTTTTATTCTTGTCGTACTGAATTCAAATATTTGTTAAAACTGCATATCTTAGCCTTATGAGATGCTGATTCAGCGCTTTCTCGATTAAAACATTAGAGGCAAGTCAAAATTCACCTCTCTAAGTTTGGTCTTCTCATTTGTACAAAATAAGAATAATTATCCGGGGAGTCGTTCCGTACCATATTTAAAACGTTTTGCACTTCTCTGTCGGATGAATAACAGAAATGCTCATAAATCTTGGACAGGTTGGAAGTATTTTAGGCTTGACACCCCCCATCCACATCCCCTCAATTTGCGCTCCTGCTGATCCCAAATCCCAGCTTCTTTTACCCACTTTTCAGGCCCCATCACTTTTAGACCGTGTGTGCGGTCAAGAGTTAGTCAGTTTGTGGAAATTCTTTTTTTAATAACTTTTGCAATAAGAATATGAATAGGCTGAAAGCGTCCACAACGAAAAGTGTGAACTATATATATATATATATTTTTTCTTAAACTTGTTTGCAATTTATTTTATCTTGAAATGTGTAGAGATTTTGATTCACATTGTGCAAATGAAGTCGGCAAAAATATCTCCCCATCAACAAAAGGCCCTTATTGTACGTCGGGGAAGACGCCTAGAAGACGGGGGTCTGTCCATGAGCGAAACTGAAGCATACTGCCATATTAGCGTAGTCATACCGGAGAATCTTAACGAAATTATTTGGGAAATTATCTTTTGGATGGGCACAGAAGGGTTAGGACCAAAAGACATCATTTGAACATAAAAAATGTTAAGCTAATTCGATTGTGAGATCACAGTTGAATCCCTTTAAGTCCCACCTCGGATGGATAACTCGGATTTTCAATACGTCATACTGACTTTCAATTCCCATTCGATGTTTCTACCTTTTTCATGTAAAAAGTCGTACCCCGGATAAGACGGATATTCGCTTAGTCGAACCCCCTCTTTCGACTTTTTGGCGGAATTCATCGGTATCAAAGGGTTTTCCCCTTAGCCGACTTTAAACACTTGACAGAACGTACGACTGTAAATGTTTCTGAAAATATCCTGTGAATTGCCTTTTCCGTCATATCTTTCGCAGCAATGTTTATGAACCATTTCTTCTCTGTGAGTAGCAAACCCTTTTGCATGAAAAGATAATAATGAATGCACAGCTCTAAAACAGTCAAATTTAAACAGTAGCAGGGAAGAATCATGACACCACTAATAAAGAACACCATACCTCCATTTGTAAGGACTACAATGATGCTTGTGATGATCACCAAAACAAGAAGAATCAACCAGTTTTTATTCTTCATCTTCAATGCATCTAAAGAGCATGTAAATTCTGAAAGGCTCTTATTTATCGGTCGAAGCGAAACAGGAATTAGATACTGGATACTGACTTCCGGTATAGTTTCTTGTCTCAAGTGAAACTTGACATCTCCCGGGGGATACTTTTTATCAAAAGCACAAGCATAAGCAGAGACACGCCTCATAGAGGAGGGGGTGTTACATTTTTTCAATAGGAACACACTAGCCATTGCAAAAGCTTTGCACCATCTTGTTCAAAATAGATGCACTTTTTATCAAATTTTCAAAAATATTTCCTAAAAAAGGGCCGGGAAAAAATGATCATAAGGGAGCCCATCCTCTCCAGAAAAACCGTTCTTTGATTGGGGGTTAGGGTTAAGTGTTTGCCTTTCACAAAGCCATATAATACTTCGTTTTTAATTTCTTGCCTTTTACAAAGTGATATAACACTTAGTTGTACTTAATCCCCAAATCATCGAGGGATGAAGAGGCAACAAAATGTACTGCCATATATATCTCGACATCAAGCTTCATTTTTTTCGGATTATTCATCAATATAATACGGTAGGTTTTCGTCATTTCTCAAAAGAAATTTCTCTTACACAAAATTATTACATTTAAATGTAGACAGTAAAAGTGTACTTCTTCTTGAAATTCAAATTCAACCTGTTTATGTTCCAAGCTCAGCTTATTGGATATTGTTCAAAGTCGATTCTACTCTTGACGTCATATAAGTTTGAGACTGGTTACGAATATTTCTTGAAAGCATCATTTTATTCTGTTTTGCATTACGTCATTATCCGCCAAATCATCTTCCATCACGTCATCTTCCATCACGTCATTTCCATCACGTCATCTTCCATCACGTCATCTTCCATCACGTCATCTTCCGTTACGTCATCTTCCATCACGTCATCTTCCGTTACGTCATTTTCCATCACGTCATCTTCCGTTACGTCATCTTCCATCACGTCATTATCCATCACGTCATCTTCCATTACCTCACTCACGATACGTCATCCAAACGAGCTTGTCTTTTTATCAATATTGCTATGTATATATCTAACTGCAAATCTGTTTTAACAACCCCTCCAACAATCGTAAAAAGGCATTACAGAAAAGGTCTGTCGTCAAAGGGAATCCTCAATCGGTGGCAAAGTACAGTTTTAAAAACCAATAAATGTAAGTTAATTGTGTAAATGATTTAACACAGCATCTCTTTGAAAGGAATTTTTTCTTTATGAAGAGTTGCGTGTCATTCCAGTGATCCATTTCCGAAACTTTGAGACACGAGTGTAATAGCTAAACTTTTCACCATTCCCACATCCTTCACTCCAACTGTACAATCCTATAAGCACCCATCTACCTGAATATGAATCTTGAATTACAAGAGGAGCACCATGATCCCCAAAACATGGCGACGCACTTCCACCAATATACCCGGCACATAGCATTGTTCTTGGATTGAAGTCATAGGCCGTAGCTTTCTTGCAAGTCCTCATATTCTTCAAGGGTATTGTTGCCTCTTTTAGGTGCATTGAAAAGAGGCCTGGGTCCTCTCCAATATCAACTTGTGTAGTCGTCCCCCATCCTGTTACCGTTGATAAATGTTCTCGGTCTTCAAAAATTCGTGCTTTCCTCCCGCCAATAAGACAAATCTTTAAGAAAAATAAATATTCTGATAAGCGTAGAAACAATGCGATATACAAACAAGAAGTTAAGCTAAATACTAGAACCCGTGCATGTTTCCAGCCGCTCAAAAATGACGTCACCCACCTGGAGAGATGTAGCGGACAGCGAAATGTGAAATCTTATCAAGAGAAGACAGGTTTTTGTCCTATCGACGCCACGCTTTATAACAGTTGGTCCCGTAAAGAAGAACTTCAGGATTTCAGAATAAACAAGCTATCTTTCTTTGATTCAGCAGCTTGTTAGAGACGAAAAAATATGCAGAGTTCTTGATAGACTGCATGTTGGCAATTTTGAGCTACAAAAACTCTCTTTTGTTTATTTTTAAAAATTTTGTCTCGATATATTTTGGCTCTTTCCTCCCCGTAATGCAAGTAAAACTCCTTGGAGTAGGAACCCTCATATTATAAAAATAGGAACTGGAATAGGATATGGCCGTATGCGATAGAGATTCTGTGCTAGTGACTTTAGGAAAGTAGGTTCTTCTTGACACTAGGTTCTAACTGTTTTCTGACAGAAGAGTTGAGGCATAAAGAGAGAAAGAACGTATACAAGAATAGGAGAAGCATTACGACCGCCAACTCTAAGCCTAAAGATTTAGAAGTGGTTTTTCGAAAGAAAGATTTAGAAGGGAAAGAGGTTAGCAACAGCAAGAAAACTACGCAGTTCTAGTTAAGCCCCAAACCTTTCAATCAATAATGTGATCCATTGCAAGTTCTATAAAGCTGTCTCCTTTCAATACTTTCGGTTTTTTAGTGACGTGAAAAGGATGGTTATGAGACTGTGACGGAAGTGACAAACGTGACAAGTTGGGGTTGGAGTCGAGTGTGATTAAAACTTACCGTCGTGCCATTTTTGAGCGGCCTCTTTCAGCAAAATGTATGTTTACAGAATGCGTACCAGTAAATTATGATAGCGAGACTTTCATACGTTGTTTGGTGGTTTTTGTCATGAAATACTGGTTGACACTAATACTTTTCTCCAAAATTTGTTTTTTTCTTTAAATATCAATATCAACAAAAATGCAATATAATTTGCTAATTTTGGCAAAGAATAGATTTATTTGAACAATCACTACTTGTGCTGTATTAATACTTGAAGGTGTTTACCTATTATTCTTTAGACAGATTATTTAGCACGGGGGTTAAATTAAACGTTCACCAAAGAAAGAGTTAATTTTTGTCAACAACAAACAAAGTACCTTTCCCCGCAAACCAAAGGAATATCTTAGAAAACCACTCAATCCTTACCGCATTCACATATGACGTGCGCTTCTCCACTGTCTTCAGTTTGAGAAGTGCTATATCATACGTAACTTTGTCTCTATTAAATTTTGGATGAATAAAGACCTTTTGAACTTCGAAGCGCTGCTCGTGGAATTCTGGTTTTGATCGGTCAAATTCACCTGTAATGCAAGTCTCGTCGTTAGTATCAACTGAGATAAAACATAATCCAATGAAAGGTAGAAGAGATAGAATTTCATCCACAGATCTTTCGTATTGTTATGGAATAACATGGATGAACGGGGATAAAGGCAGTGGCGGCGCCACGGAGGGGGGTATAACCCCCCCCCACTTTTGTCAAAACATGGACTACATATTTCTTCTAAAAACGGGTTAAAAAGCACTAGGTAGGGGTAGATCATATTTCCTAAGGAAAATTGACCTGGTACAAAGTACTGAAACGAGGCAAAAGTGACATGGTCTCACTGGCGAGGCCCATTCGTTGCCCTCCCACTCTGTAGTAGGTGGTGCCGCCATTGGGTATAGGGCTCCCCAGTAATTTCTAAAAAGAAAAGCAGGAATTAGAAATAGGCCTCCTTTGGAATAATTATTTGATGAACAATGATACAGAAGCGCCCAAGGTGCTAGATGTCTAACTCAGAGGTACGCTGTGAGGCAAATTTGTGTACTTCCGCCATTTTGAATAGTGGCAAAAAGGAACTTGCTCCATACTGAGCCCTTATAAATTTGGTAAAAGTCAGGGTTGATTTTGTTCACTTCTCTTTCGAATATCGATGTGAACTTTCGCGAGTGGCCTTATATTGCACTTAAATTTATGAATTGATATGAATTGATGTTAATATCGGAAAAATAAGTCGCCATTCGCAAATTCCAAGCATTTACAGTCGCGGTGCTTGCTATGGTGTTTTCTGTCTCGTCGAAATTCCAGAAAATAATGGTTAATCCGTTCTAAAACGGATCCAGTAACAATTTTTAGCCACACAATGCATTATTTTCTTAAACAATAGGGTACCAAAACGAATGGTAGTTATGCAAAAACGTACCCAAGCATTTAAACAATAGGGTACCAAAACGAATAGTGGAATTTAGCATGCGAACCGGTCGAATGTTCTGGTTCATATTGTTCAGAATGTAAAGAACAATTAAACTATTTTTATAAAAGGGATGCAAATAAGAAGCGGTGCTGTGATTTGCTTTGTTAAGTTTATGCAAAAAAAGTACAACATTAATGGTGACTCCAAACTTTGCGTGATTGACAAGTGTAAATATTAAACTCTTAAAAACGTGTCAAAACATCGCACAATGATGAAGTCACATGATCTTAAACACATAGCGTTTCACAATGTTACACTTCTGCATATGGTACCAAAACGCATATTACACCGAACAAAGAGTGTTTTCATTGCTAATTGACTTTGAAATTTAGACACAATAATGAAAGATTGAACAAAATGTATAAGGAAATCGTACCAGGCAACCGAACCATAGACTGCTTTAATTACCAAATGAGCCTTTAGTACCGATACTAAAGCATTCTCGGATTATATAAGGTGGATAATGATCAAAGGCAAGCAACAAATATATACATAGGTGCGGGTCGAAAGAAACATGAAAGGTAATTGACGCTGATTGGTCAAAAACGAGAAACCAATCAAACGTGTCAAGATTTTCGAATATCCAGGTTCTTGATAAACCGGCTACTTTGAAGTGTCCAAAACTTGAGATAAAGGAAAGAGTTTGTTTCTATAGAAGGGTAAGGAACAAATTCGGGCTAGGAATTTTTCCGAAGAAAGAGCTAAGCTTAGATATAATCTTTAATATTCGTTCGTTCAACATTGTCAAAAAGGCGTCCAAGATACTTCAAAGAATCTCAAATTTCGACAGGATGGACCATTTCTTCACTGACGAAGAGCCATTGGCTGAAAATGTATAGAGCGCGTTGAGAATTTTCAATACCAAATGCTGTGCATTTGCCGACACTTATAACGATGATTGACGATTGGCACAATTTTGTGAAGCACTTTAAGAGTAGATTTTTTTCTTTCTACCTACTCCCAATAACTGCAGCATTTTCATGCAATCAGGTTGAGTGTATGAAGAGAAAAAGTTTTTTTCTATTTCTTGTGTTATAACGCCTCTATGTACCGAATAAAGGTTTAACGGCTATACAAAAGAGGGCAGAGGAAATCACCTTAATGAGAAGTTGATTAAACAGCAAAAAGAATTATCAAAAATTCGTCTTTGTGAATAGAAGTTTTATAGAAGGTAAGTCATGAAATGATGACGACGAGTCCATAGTATGCCTTGAAAGGCGACGAATACAAACGTTTGCTAAACGAAAAAGTTTAAATTTTGCGACGAGAAACTGGTAGTTTGAAGACTCTTGAAGACAATGCTCTCGTAATTATCAAGTTACTTCTGAAGTTGTTGTTTAACAGAAGTTCATTTAAAAAAGTGGGGACACAAGTTGATCTCCAAATATTAAGAAAACAATACGTTCTATAATTTCGAAAATATTGACGTTGATAAACCATTAGGATACAGTTTCACATACACATAGTGTGCGAGACGGGTCTGTCTTTCTATGAATAAAATCTTTGGTTGATAAAACACTCCTTATCTTGAACAATATATAGAATGTTCAATTTTGGTAACGAAGAAGTAACTAAAAGAAGAAGGACAAGAAAAATAGAAGAGTAAGAGCAATAAGAAGTATAAGAAGTAGAAAAAAATAGAAAAAAAGATTAGAACAAGAAGTATAAAAATTTTGGACGGAAGAAGTACCTAAAAGAAGAAGGACAAGAAAAATAGAAGAGTAAGAGCAATTAGAAGTAAAAGAAGTAAAAAAAGTAGAAAAAAGATTAGAAAAAGAAGTATAAAAATTTTGGACGGAAGAAGTAGCTAAAAGAAGAAGGACAAGAAAAATAGAAGAGTAAGAGCAATAAGAAGTATAAGAAGTAGAAAAAAATAGAAAAAAGATTAGAACAAGAAGTATAAAAATTTTGGACGGAAGAAGTAGCTAAAAGAAAAAAAACAAGAAAAATAGAAGAGTAAGAGCAATAAGAAGTATAAGAAGTAGAAAAAAATAGAAAAAAAGATTAGAACAAGAAGTATAAAAATTTTGGACGGAAGAAGTAGCTAAAAGAAGAAGGACAAGAAAAATAGAAGAGTAAGAGCAATAAGAAGTAAAAGAAGTAGAAAAAAGTAGAAAAAAGATTAGAACAAGAAGTATAAAAATTTTGGACGGAAGAAGTAGCTAAAAGAAAAATAGAAGAGTAAGAGCAATAAGAAGTAAAGAAGTAGAAAAAAGTAGAAAAAGATTAAACAAAGCAAGTAAGAAATTTTGGACGGAAGAAGTAGCTAAAAGAAGAAGGACAAGAAACAAAGAAGAGTAAGAGCAATAAGAAGTATAAGAAGTAGAAAAAAATAGAAAAAAAGATTAGAACAAGAAGTATAAAAATTTTGGACGGAAGAAGTAGCTAAAAGAAAAATAGAAGAGTAAGAGCAATAAGAAGTATAAGAAGTAGAAAAAAATAGAAAAAAAGATTAGAACAAGAAGTATAAAAATTTTGGACGGAAGAAGTAGCTAAAAGAAAAATAGAAGAGTAAGAGCAATAAGAAGTATAAGAAGTAGAAAAAAAGTAGACACGAATGAAGGAAGAGAAGAAATCCAGAAAGAAAGGGGAGAAAAGAAGAAAAACCCGAAAGAAGATTTGGATGAACGAAAACAATAAGAAAAATAAGGGCAAGAAGAAGAATAAGAATAAGATTAAGAAGAATGAGAGTCATGTCAAGGCGATCAATAAATGATCGAAATGTGTCTTACAGCTTAATTACGGAGCAAACATTTTCCGCTCGAAAGTGGCAAGTCTAAATAAAAATGTTGCTGTATTTCCGGATTTACGATAGCATGCTCATTACGTATCGGTTCGCTTTGGTCGTGTCTGGGGCATTTTGGTGTTGTGAATGCCAATATTGGAAGTCGAAGCAATAGAGATTTGGTATGGTGGAGAGTTGGTATGTTGGTATGGTAGTGGATAATTTATGTAACGTTAGCCTATTTTCATTCATTTTTCTAAATACTATTCCTTCTCCACGTCACTGTTTACTTAACCTCTTTGAACTGTGCACCGCTTTTCCTCTTATGTATACAGAGTCTCGCTTTCACATTTTTTGCATCATTACCTCTTCTACAATCCTATACGATCTTAACCTTAAAAGTCTGGCTAATGATTTTCTCTATATTTTTCCATACACGCCTTTCCTGTTATTCTCAATTTTGATGGTTAAATCTTAGCTGTTAGTTCCCGTTATCGGTTATTTAATTCCGTAACACTTATCATGTAAAGTAGCATAGTTGGCAATGCTTAGCTCCATGGTTCACTGAAATCGTGAATAAAACTACTTGTGTGAAAAACTGTGTATTTTTTGCGTGTCTGACCGCTTGAGTCGTTCTGCCCCACATTTATAATGGATTGTCGAATCGGAGAGCGACAGATTATGAACTACCCGACTGATGATTGAAAATCGTTTCTATTCGTCTTTAAACTTGAGGCATATTTGGGAAATTTTGGAAAATATAAAAATTCGTGCGCACGGTGCTTTCAACGGTACAACGAAAGAGTCTAAAAAAATGAGTTTCACGCGTTTTATGTCATACAGGCGAAGTGCTCAGGTCATAACGAATCGATCTGTCATACCATATTTATACAATATACCCGTTATATCACATACATCAAGCATACCTAGGACTACTTTGACTTCCTTTGGACGAACCAATCGCGTGCCAATGAACAACTGACTTGCTACAGTAATGATCCATCCAGGTTTAATCAAAGCTCCTCCCATGAAAGGCAGTCGAGCTACAAAACAATCGCAGTATGTATACTAAAATCATTAGCTGATGAAATACTGTCAGATCAGAATTTCAGTGTTAGTAGCTTTTACAGGTAGATATAAGCCCCCCCCGAGCTAATACACCAATTAAAATATTTGCAAATAGACCCCCTCGAAAAGCCAATGGTAATCATATTGCAGAATAATATCTATTAAGAAGCCACAGAAGCGCTTTTGCATTTTCATTTTGATTAATTGATTGATTTTTTCATGTCGACCTTGGAGAAAATAAAAACTTTGAAAATAAGCCCCCCCCTCGAATCAAGCCTCACCCAAAAAATTCATATTTGTCAAATAAGTCCCGGGGGCTAGCTTCAAAGGATTACGGGAAATAAACATTGGTATGCAAAAAACATAAACCTACATCTACACTGCTGCAAAAGTATCTTGAAAACTGGCGTAATTTCACGCAATTCACCATCCTCTCTTTCCATAGAGAAATAGTTTGGTTACACAGAAAGCACTAGCGAAAGATTTGCAGGTATTTGCTAATGCATTACTTCTATGTTATCTGTCCGTCCATCAACATTGTCTAGGGCGAAGGGGTTGAATGTAGTGATTTTGAAGAAATGGCAGATATAAAATACTGGTCTCTAATATTTGGCAGGCCCCGTATATGGGATGATCAAAGGTTAAGCCAACACCAGTCTATAAAATCAAATTCTATTTTGTAACACAAAGAATTAGGTTCAGGACAATAAAAACAGGGTGAAAAAAAAAATAAGACACCCGGCCTACTGCATATTCTAAATAATTCTGTTCTGTCTGTCCAAATTCCGATTTACACTCGTGGGTTCATAAGTAAAAGTAAGTTCATAAAAATGACCAATGAATCATTTCTTCAAAACATTACCGAATTTGTTGCATTCGTCTTCTCACAATGTCAGAAACTTGCAAGAAATAATATATCTCCAAAGGGTTAGCTGATAAAACATTAGTTAAGCAATCGTCTTTCGAGGCAAAAGGCAGGGTACGGAGCATGGAACTGATATGTGATGGTCTTATTTCTAAAGTGTAAGGCGACGTTATCATCATGCAAGGCCCTGAATCCGAGTGGAACACAGATGATCGAATGCTCAAAAACAAATTAACTTATTTTTAATCTCCACTGATGCTTGCCATGGCATCTCCAGATAAGACATTGACTCCAACTAACCTTAGAATGCTTTCTATAGCTATGCAGTTCTGTTATTTACGAACATGATCAATTTGGTTCTGTCTGTATCGCACAATATGAAAGCAAACAAAATACGGAAAGTAATGTCGCCCCCTGGTTTTTTTTTTATAAATATTTGCAAACCCTAAAGAAAAGGGTTATGGGAAAAGAAATGTGAATTATTGGTTTTTTCATTGCTGAAGGAAAATGGGGAAGTCATATCAGAGTGGTAGGGCCATTGACGATCATAGCTAAAAAGAAGGCTTGTCTATCCTGCGCCAGATCGACGGTTTCCCAGGATGAATAGTTGAATGAAACAGCTAAATTTTCCATTCGCGAAATTCCTTCCTCGAAAACAGTCGAGTTGCGACGAGGTAGCTTGTTCTCAGAGTGCTAGTCTCGTTTGTAATCACGGTTGGGTAAACAAAACAAATAAAATCAATATCATATATTGTTGTCAGACGTAAACTGCTGAAAGCAAGTGTCAACGGAGAGATCGTGAACTGGCGAAGTGAAACTATAAGAAACATTTAGGATACAGAGCTACTTTCGATGTAGGAAGTGTAAGTAGAATATAAGTTATTTTAGTCGGAAAATGTTTATAACCGGCAGCACGTATTGGAAAAATTACCATCATTCAGGATTAAATTCCTA